CTCTTGTGTTGCTAACTAAGCACTCCTCATCTGCATGGTCAGCTCTGTCCACATCAGGGGCACGCCTGGGTGAGTGACTTGGTTTAGGCGACGAGTGGCTTAGAGAAGGAGCTTGGTGAGAGGAGAGGTGGCTCAGTGGTTGGAAAAGGGCCTGTGTGCAGGTGCATGGCAAGGTCTCGCTGCCACATTGCTCAGACAAATGTGACAAAGCAGAGCTGTATCCTCCCCGGTGTCTAATTGAATTGTTACTGCAGGAAAAAAACAAGGCGTAGGATGAGAATGAAAGCTGTTGGGAGTCCTCGTGCAGGCTGGTGCCTGTTCTGTTCTGACCAGTCCTCTGGTCTCACCCACATGTTACCGGCTGTGTTTCCCAACTACTAAACTAGTCACGAAAATTCTATCTGGTCTTTTGGTAACATCAGGTCACAGGGATTACTTTAACGGCTCACATAAGCAGTATTATTGCTGGCTCGGATTCAAACTGGGTCTTGTGATCTGGACGACTCTTGGGAGATTCTATCAAGTTAAAATTAGAACGCTTATTTTAAGAGATGTGTGCAAGCTGAGACCAATCCCCCTTACTGGGGCAGAATGAATGGCTCTCAGTAGTTTGGAGACAATTGTGATGTGTACCCAACCTTTTTTTTTTTTTTCCTGGCTGGCACCTTGGTGGATAAATCCGGTAGTGAGTCAGGGAATCTTCTCTTAGCCTTGTTCTGGGGCGAGGTCAGCTTCTGACCTCAGCACTTCCTTTCTTATTTACCAGCTAGCTATTTTGCTCTCTACCAGGCAACTACATTCTGACTGGCACTTGGTGGCTGTCGTAAGTGGAAAGGAGATTAAAGCAAGGGTGTGTGTGGGTGGAGGGGGCGGTCATCCCAGATGACCCTTGCAGAAGATGTGCCCCCTAAATTGATATGTAGGCTGCAAGGGACTTGCAAGCGGCCATTTTCCCTTTTTAGTGAAGACCTTTTGTTGTGATATGGCTATTTTGGATTTTCACAAGTGACATGGATAAATAAAGACAGAAAAATTTTTTAGAAATATTTTTCGGGGACCACGATTGAGACAGAAATAATCATTTGAAGTTCATACTTAGAGGAGGTGACACTTGGAGACACATGCCAGATGGGTGCTTGAGAACATCTGCTCTTCTGTGTCCTGTGTGTCGTCAGGAAAGCTGATAGAGCAAGCCTTCCCAGCTCCTTTGCCGTGTACATCACAGCATTTTGTTTTAGTTAAAGCATTGTTCTATAAAGGAACTCCTAAACCTTTACATAAGATGGCTTTATGTGGTATTGGGTCCAGAGAGCGTCCCTTGTAGCCAAGGGTAGCCGTGGATGAGTTCCAGGAACATGTTTTGATAAGCACCTTGTATGCAATGGCAGAGTTCTCTCTCTGCCCCGCTCCCACCTTTCTAGCTGAGCCCCATTTTTTCCCACTCAGCAGTCTCCCAACTCAGCAGCCCTACAACTGGCCCACACCTTCTATGTTCAGACTCACCCAGGCCGGTTCTCGAAAGACCCATTGCTCTAAAACTATCCCTACCTCTCTCTACCACTATCCATTTTCTTAGAAGTCGGGCGGGTGGCAGTTAGATGGGTCCCCGTAACATCGGTCGGAGAGTTCCCCTTTGCCTCTGGCCAGGGCCTGCATCTCTGTGGTGTGAAGTGCTGCGAGATTGCTGTACGCCTCCAGCATCTTTGCGACCTGGGCTGGTGTTCTCTGCCCACACAGTCCAAATCCCCCTGAGCTGTGCTCTGCCCCCTCGATGGCTTGCCTTGGTTCATCTTTTAAGAGACCCACTCTTACATCTTAGAATTTACTGTGCTTTGTTGCAGGCATTTGGGCAGCTGTTGTGGGATATGATTGTTGTGCCGTGTTGTCTTCCCCAAGTCGGCCCTGTGTCTTGTCCTTCACCCTTCCTTCTCTCTCACTAGCACTCAGGGAGTTCAAAAGAACGGTTCTGTTCTGTAAGATCTTGGTGTCTCCTACAAATTGGCCTGTCCAGGATGTCTCATGACTAAGGTTTTCCACCTTGCTCCAGTGACGAGGGAAAGAATGAAGAAGGGTCTGCCTGATGGCCACAGATAGAAAAGCAATTCAGCATTAGAGGGACTCTCAGACACACGGACCACATGGGCTCGTGAAAAGTGGAGCCATGGACCTGAGCAAGAGTGAAATACAGAACAGAGTTACTGTTGACATTCAAGACGAAGTTCATGGCCACACAGGGACCCACCAGTCTGAAACCAGTCTCGTGGCCGCCTGCAGAGGCCCCAGGCCAGCTGTGAGAGAGCCTGTGTTCTCTGGGACGTGTTCCTACCCACGCAGAGGACTGGGCGTCTCCATGTGCGGTGGATGAAGCCCTGAGCTCCTCCTGCTTAGTGTACAGAGGGAGGCCCCAGAGAGGAACTGGGAACTCTTGGACACTGTCCAGCAAGCACGGTGCCTCGTATGGGTCACCTGCCGGTGCCAAGATGTCCCGTCTGCGTTCAGACCACATCCGCCACAGCTGCCTGCTGGGTGCTCTTTCCCGCCGCTCTGTGCTTGGGCGATGCCGGCGTTTTCGGCCATGCTTTCCCACGGTCAGACTGGCCGTCCATAGGCAGAGTTTGTTCACAACAAATGCCTCGCTTAGACAATGACCTCATTCCAGGAGAGCCTTCCACGCAGCCTTACAGTGTAGCCTTGTTGTAGCTAAGAGCCTTGGCTCTGGACCCAGACTGCCTGGGTCTACATGCCCAGCCTTGTCACTCACCGGCACGTGACGCTTGACAGGTTACTGCGCCTCCCCCACATGGGCCTTTTGGAGATTAAAGCCATGCAGACCAGCCAGTGCCTTGCACGTGAGCTGTTACTACTGCTTATTCATTTATAAACTGCCAGGAGAGCAGAGCAGAATGGAATTAACTTACAGTGTGATAGATACCTCCAAAGCATTTGGGAAAATAGAACCAAAAGCTAAGATTATTCGGTAAAAAGAGAAAAACAACCTCCTGGCACAGTTGTTTCCGCATGCACGTGTCCCATGAGTGTTCTGAACGTCTCACGTCACGTTTGCTGTGGAGTTCCTGGTGTTGTGTGTGTTCATGTGAGGCCTGCGCTGACTGTGCTTTGAGGCTTGGGGAGCGGTGACCTCGCGAGGCACGAGCGCGTGCTGTCCCCAAACAGGGCGAGAGCTAAGGGGTGACAGCTTAAGAAGGCGGAGGGGCCCGTGTTTGTATGAGGTGCTTTATGCTTGTTGGAGGTGTGTGAGTTTATACTGCTAGGATGAGGCTGCGCCTGAGCATTCCAACCCCCAGAACGCTCACGCGTGTCAGACCTCTGCCACAGGTCTCTCCACCACTGTTAGAACATTAGTTGAAGGCAGGACCCTGACCCTTGTCCATTGCAGGAGAGACAGAGAGAAAGATCTTCCAGCTGCTGGGTCACTCTCCAAGTAGCCACAATGGCTGCAGCTGAGCTGATCTGAAGCCAGGAGCCAGGAGCTTCTTCTGGGTCTCCCAGGCAAATACAGGGTCTCAAGGCTTTGGGTGACCATCCTTGACTGCTTTCCCAGGCCACAAGCAGGGAGCTGGATGGGAAGCGGGGCTGTTGGGAATAGAACCGGTGCCCAAATAGGATCCCGGCACATGTAAGGTGAGGACTTCAGCTGCTAGAGTATCGTGCCGGGCCCACCATCTTTCGCACACGTTGTTCAGGCCTCACTGCCTGCGGAGCTGCCTCTGACTCCCACCACGGTTCTGGTCGGGACTTCGTGGTCCTCCAGAACAGCACTGCCCTGCTCACCTGCCTTGCGGCCCGGCTGCTTTTGGTGCTACTCACTGGTAGATGAGATGGTGTTTTAGGCCCCACGCTGGGCACTGTGCCTCATGCTCTGCAGCTGTGGATTTAATTGATTATCCTGTCTGCACACACACTTGGGCATTATGATTTCTGTCCTTTTAAGGATTAAAATTATGATTGCGTATGTCTGTGTCTATGTAATGTACCGTGAGTATAAATGAAAGAGGTCGCTTGGGATGACGGGTATTCCTTTGGTGTCAGAAAAAAACACCCCCGCATAACCATCACTCTTCAAAATGAGGAACTTTACAAGTTAGGGTCTGTTTTCTTGCCTGTTTGTGGAGTGGCAGCCATGATGGATGGTAAGAGCTCAACTTTAGACCTTTAAAAAAAAAAAAACTAGTATGGGCATAGTGGAGGTCTTCAAAAAGCTTATCAAAAATGCATATTTTGAAAAAGATATGTATAGATTTCAAAATATTTCTGTACTAAAAAATCTTGATTTTGCGTTCCCATAGATTCTTGTGACGTTCCTTCCATGCTGACAGTCAGCAGGGATGTCGTGTGTGGTAGGTGGGCTGCCTGGGACAGCTCTGACCTCTCTGCTGGGACAGGCTTGATCCAGCTCTGTCCCCCATGAGTCTCTTTCTCCCAGAGCCAGCAGGCCCCCCGGGGCAGGCTCTTCTGCTGGGAGGAACTGTAACTTCTTAGAAAAGGGAAACGTAGACACAAGGCCACCATAAGGCACGCTGTCGCTTCTGCCCTCCTCCCTTTGGCCAAAGCAGGCCTGTGGGATGGAGTGTTTGCTCGGCGGAACCGGCGTCCGTCCACTTGCGAGCGGTCATCCAGCCTCGAGGCTTTTGGGCTGCTTCCCGTTTCTGACAGTTTATACACAGTGCTGCTGCCGCGAACATTGACTCCTGTGCTGCGCATGCTCTCAGCGTGTACATTCAGCAGCTCAGCTCCGCTGGCTTGTGCACCGCGGAACATTCCAACTTACTTGGCAATGCCAAGGGTTTCCGGTGGTTGCTCTGAATCGCGACTACTTTGTTACTTTTCTATGTATTGAATGCACAAGTGAGTCATGTTAAAAGCAGCTGTCTTTTACAGCAAGATCGGGATGCATGCTATAGAACAAAGCGTTGCTTATCTTTTTTTTCATCAGTGCTTCAAATCTACTAATTGTTTCCATTTTTGTGTTCATTTGGCAGGTTTGGGGCAAATGCCAAAGTTGTACATTTTCTGGGGCAAACCAAGCCATGGAATTATACTTATAATAGCAAAACAAAAAGTGTCCAAAGCGAGGCCTACGATCCCACCATGGCTCACCCCGAGTTTCTCAACCTGTGGTGGGACACCTTCACCACCAACGTTGTACCTCTGCTGCAGCAGTTTGGCCTTGTCAAAGACACCTGCACGTACCAGAATGTGGTAGGTCCTGAGTTTTCTTACTCTTTCAGGTAATTTAATGCTGCATTTCGAAAACTCCCAATATGTCGAAAACAGGAAATTTTCAGTGATATTTTAAACAAAAAGATAAATAAGCTTTAGTGGAAAGAAAGCAAAGGCCATTTTGGAAGGAAGGAATATTATCGCCAGAGATGCATCACAATTCGATGGATGTGGGAGCCTTGGACAAGCTTTGCGTTCCCTGTGTGCTCTGCTCCCATATGTTGTAACTAAAAGGTCCTTAGTCCACGGGCCTCGGAAGGCCACACCTAAAGTACAAGCCTGGGAAAGCACAGGCTGGTCCTTTAAACCCCTAAAAACCTACACTTTTATACTTACCATCCTCTTAGAACAGTGTTTTCAGTGAGTCACAACATTAGTGCTTTTCTAGGGTGATTTGGATTGTGTGATTGCTATGACTGTTGCACATTGAGAGAAATTTTGAAGCAGGGGAGGTATGGTGTTATAATTTACAGAAAACCCGTTTTGCATCTTTTCTGACTTTAAACATTTTCCCAAAGTTCGTTCTTTTTTGGAAGAATTGGAAGGTGATAAGGAATTAGCCATTTTATTTATTAACATTTGTACCAAAATATAGAAAGGAAAAAGGAAGAAATGACAAACACTTCATTTCTCTTATTCTACATGCTTTGTACGGACCATGAAGTAATACCTGTACAGTATCTGAAACAGTGCCTGGCACCCAGGAAGTGCTTAATAAAACCTAGCTCTAGCCCTTAATCATCTCTTTTAGGTGAGTCGAGGCTTAAAAGCTACATAACTTGTCCTAGTTATGCAACAGATGAGTAAGTTGCCGAACTGAGACCCAAATTCAAGTCTGAAAGACCGTTATGCGTAAGAAGACGTTGAGACGGGCCTTGCTTAAGGCGGTCCTCGACAGCCTAGAATCGAGTTTAGCATTCTTGGCAGAGGAATGGAAGTTACACCTCAAATGCTCAACTGTTTTGAGTTAGAGCCGCTAAACCTGGCTTAAGCTTTAGGAGAAGAAAGTTTGTGTTCAACTCACAGGCCTCTGTTGGAAGTCGTGGAACTCTGGAAGAGCCTCTCAGGGTCCTTTCTAAGCAGAAGGTAAAGCAGGACTAAGCCGGTGGGAGGCTTCCATGCGTCCCTGGCTGTAATGAAACCCTGTGCGAGCCCCTTGCGGTTCCAGCAGACTCAGGCACACCCACACCCATCCGTGCTGAATTCGATGACAACAAAAACAGCGTACCCGAAGTGTGTTCACCTGGTATGAGCACAGTACCTCTTTGTATTAGTTCACCTGGGCTCTAAGGCCCCAGCAGCTCCTCATTTCGAACTTCTGAAGAGCAGCACTGCTATTTGTTTATGGTGCATTTGAAACCGACTCCCTCTTCATGCAGTGAGCATCAGAATTAATTCGGCATAGATTTGCTCTGCTGCCTGCACACTGCTCCTCTTCCCCCTGCTGAGCAGTAGGCACCCCAGGAAGGGTTCCAGCAATGACAATTGTTTGAAACTAAGCAGATTAGCAGAAGCTCTTAGAATGCTGTGTGGTAACCTAAAGGAAAGCTTAAACAGGCAGAACCGTTGTGTCATCAGAAATGTTTAAAGTCTCTAGCTTTCCCCCTCGAATGTGACCACGTGTGTGTATGGGTTGTGGCTGTCCGGTTAGGCTCTCTGAAATGTAGCGGCTGAGGTGTCATTTTTGTTCAAGTTTTCAACCTTTCTGAGCCCACCCAGATTTGAGAATTTACCATGAGACTTGTCTTCCTTTGTCCATTCTTCACCTTACACTTTCTAATGAACTGTTTGCAGCTCTCAGACTTGGCCTATACACTGGCTTTCTCTTGTGGCTTCTGCAGGAAGGTATGCAGAGCTTAAACATTAACCCGAGTTACTTTGTTCTCCCAATGTTTTCACTTGAGTCCAGAAGTCTTCATTTTGTTAGGAAAAAAAAAATCATATGGTTCTTGTATTTTGTGTCTTTTTTTTTTTTTTTGGTTCGTTAGTTCCCTGTAATGCTTTTAGTTTTTGCTATTTTGCATGATAATTCATCCTGGCTTTGCTCATCTTGAACTGACTGCATTCTGTGGAGCGCTTCCGATGTCTCAGCTCTCAGGAGCCTCTGCTTATGTTCCACTCTGTAGGAGGATGTGTCGGGAGCCGTATCACACTTGTCCCTCGCGGAGGTGCCGGCTACCACGCAGCCCTTTGTGTCCTCGGAAGAACGGAAGGAGCGGTGGGAACAGGGCCAGGCCGATTACATGGGAGCAGATGCCTTTGACAACATCAAGAAGAAACTTGACACTTACCTCCAGTAACACTGCCATGTTCCCTGTGGACACACCCACTGCACAGGCACCCGTTTGATACTTAGCGTCTAGAGCTGGGTTGAGGAAAGTCTGTTACCGCTTCTAGAGGCTTTGACTAAAACTCATCAGTCAGAGTTTTTGTAGAGCAAGAACTGGGCAAAAGTTAAGAGGCGGCAGCTCTGTTACGGACAGTGGTCTGCTTTTTAACACTAGACTTCTTTAGCTGTTTCAGAAATTCTCAGATCGCCAGCGTACATGGTAAACGAAACTCAATACTAAGCTACGAAAATGGCTACATCGACTCTGTGGGAAAAAGGTACACATCCCAGTTCCACAGCAGTCTCCCTCCCAAACAGCACCTGGCATCCGTCCCCTGCTTGCTTGCCTTCACCTCTCACTAGACCTGCACTGTAGAATTGCCCAGAGGCTGCCAGCGTCAGGGCAGCCGGTAGTAACCCTGCTGAGTGACTCATAGCAACCGTGGCTTCAGCCACTGGCACTAACCCATTCATTTCCCAGCCTGTGTCTGAGGATGGTCACCTCTCTCCTGTGTACAGTAAGGTGGCAGCATGCTGGAATGCTTTTGTTCAGTTCTGTATATTTGAAAGCAGCAGTGTGTTCTCTGATGGTTTCCTGCAGCAGTACTCCATATGAAACAATAAAGACTTAACTGCCATATCTTGATTGTTTAATTAGATGAACACACACTCTTGGAAAAAAAATCTCATGAAACGTCAGAATGTATGAAGTTTGTCAATTTCTAAGAAGTCTAAAGTTGGGTACCGGTAAATATGCTTTAAAAAATTATCTGAAAGATTTAAAGCTAATGTTCACTGGCCATAGCAATGAATTTGACAGGGGAAAGGGAAATCAAATTTTTCTATTAACTCGCAGTGCCTTCCATATGAAGTAGGCATTCAGATATTTAGTATATTACAAGCTAGAAGTCTTCAACGGTTCACTGTCAGTGTCTGAACACGGTCAACAACAGTTCTCAGGATGTGACAATCGGCGCTAACCTTATGCAGCATTTATCCATGATTGAAAGAATAATATGATAAAGTATTTGTTAAACATACAAATAATTCTAGATGGCAAAAGATGGTCAGCTGGGGAAAGGCAGAATCCACACTACTTGCTCAGACAGCAACCAGATTTCATTCTGTTGATAAAATCAGGAGACTAGAGAAATGTGATCGGGCAGAAGTTGCAGTGGCTCTTTTTGAACCAGCCTTCAAACCATATTTTTCATTTCTACAGTAATATTCTATTGGTTATGGGTCATCCCTGTTCAAAGTGGATGTGAATCAATACAGAGAGACAGGAACTGAACTTTCTTAATAGTGTGACATACTAAATGATATCTGAAGATAAACTCCTTGGACTGGTAGAGAACGAGCTGCTAAGATCCCCAGGGACGTGACGCATTCACGGAGGATTCAAGTGCCTGCGCGTGTCGGCTCCCGTGGCGTGGAGACTTTCCCAGGACACTAAGCTCCCGGCCCAAGCCTTCTGGCCGCCGTGTCACTCACTCCCTGAGAGGCACAGAATTCTAATCTCCAGCTGAAGAACGTGACCTTACTGGTATGGCTGTGGAATATGCAATCCAAATAAAATATATTAGAAGAGATCCAACGTTTTTTTTCTTTGATTGAGAATATGTAAAATCGTGGGAGGGGAAACTGAACTCAGTGTTCCAGGTTTTAAATTCCATAAAGAGCTTATGGTGAGAATGTTACTTTTAGAAAATTCTAATTTTTCCATTGAAAATGGCATACAATGAGCCTAAAGACAGCAAGTTGCATGGCTTGGAACTCACTGAACTGGGTTAACACTTACATCCCTTTAGAACGTTTTAGTTCATAAGGCAATTAAGTTTTCCAGGAAAAGTGCACAATTACAAATTCTTTTACAGCAAGTCAAAATTGGATGAGAGGCAGAAACTCCCAACTGCACGACATGAATTTGTGGAGAGCTGTCTGTGCCGTTGTTATTTAATCCCTTAGCAATGGGGAGCTTAAAAAATAGCCTTTGATCTGAGACAAATTTGCCCATGCAGAGGTCGCATCTGTCTTTAGGGAATAGTTTTATCTTGAACAAAATCTAGGATTATGCTGTAGGTGCACCTGTATTTCCGGTTGGGTTACACCTTCTGTAAATATCCTTGAAGTGTTAAACAGTTGAGTTCTTGGAATGAGCTAAACATCACATATGTTCTCATGTTTATGAATCTAATTAAAATTATAAAGAACTTTAGTAAAAACCACAAATGAGGGAAAAATACACCAATGTTCACTACACGTGGCTGAAGCACAAATTTTAATGAAACTGCTAGTATCACAGGATAACTGAGAATGTCCATTCTTAGAACTGGTGTTTTTTAAAGATTTATTTTTTATTATTTTTTCATTGGAAAGGCAGATATACAGAGAGGAGAGACAGAGAGGAAGATCTTCCGTCCGATGATTCACTCCCCAAGTGAGCACAACGGGCCGATACTATGCCGATCCGAAGCCAGGAGCCTCTTCCGGGTCTCCCACGCGGGTGCAGGGTCCCAAAGCTTTGGGCCGTCCTCTGCTGCTTTCCCAGGCCACAGGCAGGGAGCTGGAAGGGAAGCGGGGCTGCCGGGATTAGAACCGGCGCCCATATGGGATCCCGGGCGGCAAGGTGAGGACCTTTAACCACTTGCGCCACCGCGCCGGGCCCAGAACTGGTGTTTTTAAAGATTTATTTTAAAGAATGATAGACAAGACCTCTGTCCACTGGCTCACTCCTCAGCTGGCTCCAACAGCCAGGGACCAAGCCAGGTGCTCTGGGTCTCCTGCATGGGTGGCAGGCAGGGGCCCATTTTTTTCATGATGTAAGTTGATCAGGGTAAGAATGATCAAAGGTTAGCAGAAAGTGGGTGTGATCAGTTTCCAAATTTTCAATTTCTTCTTCCTGTTTCTGGGGGAAGGTAAAATAGGGGATGAGCCATGCCCAGCCTCCCAACTGTTCCAGCACCTGGGGAACAGCCACCCCAATACCAATACCCAGAGTCCCAATGTGGCACATGCTCCCAGGGCTCTGCCCATGTGGTTTTGATACTTCTGAAATGCTGTCAATCTCAGCTGTCCAAGCATGAGAAAACCCTTCCAGTGTTCATTGGCTGACACAGTTGACCTTAGAGGTCCATTCATCCAGATTTTTGTTGTTATTGGGCTGGGGCAGCTGTACAATTTGTCCTGTTCTCCCTCCTCTGTTATGGTACCAGATGTCTTCCGCAGGCCCCAATGCGCTGATATCCTCCACCTGCATCAGGGTCACCCACCCACTGCTCAGTCTTTTCCATTGAGGAGGACCAGTTCTCACAGCTGAACCCAAAGACCCGGGCTCATGGACCCGACGCCCAGCACCCATTGCACAGACAGGCCCTGCCCCGGGGACTCAAGGACCCAGCACCCAGAGGAGGGGTCCATCTTCTGATGCTTTACCCTGGCTGTTAGCAGGCAGCTGGCTGGGAAATGAAGCAGTCATGTTTCAAACTGGCACCTGCCTGGAGCGTCAGCATCCACAGGTGGTGGCTTTACGCAACATGAGTCTCAGAGCTGCAATTTGTAAGGGCGAGATCAACAATACATATGCTAGCTGTACCTAGAGGCGTAATACCGGATTTTCTTGCAGATAAGCAAATGCTCTGCATCAAGGCATTTTTTAAATGCATCTGTGCATATATACATACATATATGTGTATATATTTCTATCTTTGTTGCTTGGGAGACGCAAATAAATCTCCCACTTGTTCACTCCCCAAATGACCTCAGTAGCTGAGTCCGGTTGAGGCTGCAGCTGAGCACATGAAGCTCAAGCCCAGGTATTCCTTGGGAGTGGCAAGGGCCAACTACCTGAGCTCACCAGAGGATGAACACTGGCAAGAAGCTGGGCTTAGGAACAGAGCAAGACTCAAATCTAGCCACCCCAGGCTGCAATGCAGCAATCCCAACCAGCATCTTAACTGCTTATAAAATACCCACTCCCAGCCTGCTTTTTTTTTTTTTTTTTTTGAACAAAAAATTTAGCCAGTTAAATTGAGCAAAATAAAGATAGGAACATGGTACTGTAAAAGTTATGTATAAACACCTTAATTAAAATGTGAGACTTTGGGACAGTGCAATAGTCTAGCGGCTAAGGTCCTTATCTTGCACACGATGGGATCCCATATGGACGCAGGTTCTGGTCCCGGCAGCTCCGCTTCCCATCCAGCTCCCTGCCTGTGGCCTGGGAAAGCAGTCAAGGACAGCCCAGAGCATTGGGACGCTGCACTCGTGTGGGAGACCCGGAAGAGGCTCCAGGCTGCCGGCTTCAGATTTGTTCTACTGCAGCTGCTTGGGGAGTTTATCAGACAGATCTTCCTCTCTGTCTCTCCTCCTCTCTGTATCTGCCTTTCCAATAAAAATAAATCTTTTTAAAAAATTATTTTTCTAAGAAAAAAAGGATTTTCTTTAAACAAAAATAGTAAAATTATAGCACCGAAGAAGCTGGTAGGTTTTTGAAGTTTTTATTGACTTTTAAATAAAATCCAGTTGAACCAATGAACCACAAAATGCAGTTTGAACCACAGGTAGGATTATAAGGCTGTAAGTACATTCCTAAGGCTATTATTCTACATAATTACCAGCATAACATAATGTAAAGTTTTCATTCCAGTGGTTTATGTATTTTCTTAGGATGAATTAAATTTTTGCACTTAATAGCATTTTAATAGAACTATACAAAAAGATATGACTTGCCTAAATTACCAGGAGTTTATAAACATAACTGAAATTTTACAGGTAAAGAAAGAAGTTGTTTTTCCCTTTGCAGTGAGTGAGTTGATAAGGCTTTGCTTCTGTGAGCAAGAATAGACTTTTGCTTAATCTCACTGGAATCCTGGTATCTACCGGACTCAAACCCTGCTGCATCAGATTTTGATCAACCTGATTTTTTCTTTTTTGTAATGCTAGATGATCAAGAATTTCCCCACTGCTCCTAGCACGAGCAGACTACCTCAGCTGTATCCCTCACGTCCCCACAGAAACACTGGAACGTCTGCTCCCACCGAGACAAGGTGGGGTTCCTGCTGCCCAATGCACTCTTCCCTCGCAGCAGCAGAAGGCACAGGGGGAGGGAGGCCTTGGGCGCTGCCGTGCCCTTCAGATGCATGCATCCTAACACCACACTGCGTGCCATCTTCCCTTCAGTCACGTCACTTCTAATGCTAAGTGTCAGGTGTGCTCAAGTCGACATCAAGCCTCGAGCTTCTCTTGCTCGGGTAATCAGTATCTTCATTCTTTGGATTATAAAGTTTCCCTTAAGGAAATCAAACCACTGACTTCCTGATTTCTAGCTTCTTTGTTTTAAACAGGACTCATTATCTACACTTCTGTGACTACTACTTTGAGTTTGCTTAATTAGCCAAAAAGATGGCTTAGTTCAACAGATAAATGTACGGGTGAGCTGCTAATGTTCCAAGATAAAATTCTGATTCTATGCACACATAACAAATCTGTACATTCAAGATTAAGGTATCTTTAGGAGTTTTAACAACTTTGAGGGTCACCTAGCCCAACCTGCCTCTCATATATAGTAGTCTTCTGAATTATAAAAATTTATAAAGTTATTTCCAAGAAAAGCTACATAAATAAAAAGTATCTATCTATAGAAATATCTATTTAGCAATTCCATAATTTTAATATTCAAATTGAACTGGGTAGAACTGGTTCCCTCATCACCATAGGTTGTATCTGCAAGCTGTTCACATCAAGTTAACTAGCGGTGAGTGTAGAACCACTTGACGACAATGTAAAAAACAGTGCTACACTACAGTCCCTACTTCCTTCAGGAACACGTCACATCGTGTGAATCAGCCGATGAAGCCGTAAAAAAAATATATACATAGAACAAAGTTCAAGTACCTGGGACTTTGGTCTCTCATTCAAGGTTTGGTTTTGGAATGAATGCAAATAAGGTTTTTGAAAAGCCAACAAGATCAGTCTCTCATGTAGTCTGTGTATGTTTTGTGTACAAGAACTGTGAACTCGCTGCTTAACCAATCGCAAGCTCTGGTGAATTACCAAATGTGTCTAACATAGAAAATAACTCCTTACTGGTCATAGTAGAAAAGGACTGACCTTGCTTGAAATATGAAAAAGCTGAGTACCTAGAAGATGTATGAAAATACTCAGCAGAGATACTATGAAAAGCTGAATAACAAAGTAACTTTTCTTCTCAAAAATTATTGTAGGCCACAGTATATAATGGAACTTATTGCTATTTAAAGTATCATTAAAAATAGCTCATATATACATTTAAAGAGATAACATACCAGTAATATCTCTTCACTAATACAAAATAATACACCTCTTGCAGAACACACTCTCTACATCTCATTTCTAACCCTCTGATTTTTTTCCTTTCCAAAACTGGTGTAGCTGATGCTACTGACTTACTAAAATCTCACATTATAAGTCTATTAAAGTTCTGATTTCATTAATTTTTGCTTGTTTCATTTCATTAGCATTTTTTTTAGTTCCGAAGGCTCCAGCTGCAAGTTCCCTCTTTGTATTTTGTATTTTCAGCATGTTTTCTTCAACAGAATCCTTCACAATGAACTTAAAAAGGAAAAAAAAAAATGAAGTTAGATTGAGTACTTTTTAGGCCACAATACGTTTTTAAAGCTCTAAGAAACCTAAATTAGCTATAATTGAAAGTGTGTAAGATATAAAGCATGCTAACACTGCCCACTACACAGAAAAAGTTTTGAGATGCGATCAGTAGGCTGGTCTATAAAGGAATTTATCTTCTCATGCATATACCGCTTTCAAGAATGTACAGAAATTAACTAAAAACTTTAGCTTTTTTTCATTGATTTATAGTGAAAAATATATTATGACATAACTAGAGCTGAGTGTGGATTTTTGGGGGGGTGGATTTCTTTAAATATCAGGTCAGAGGGTACACAAATGTAAACAATACCACACAAGAAAGCAAAGTATACAAACTAGGAAATTGGCAATAAATGATTATGGTATTATGGTTTTAAAAGAGAAATGAGAAACTACCAGAAATGTAAGAATTATTTTTGATTCCACGTAATTCCTTATCATTCACTAAAGAGGGAAAATATTGTGATCACTTTGATAGATGCTTAAATAGCTGACAAAATTCAGTATTCTTGATAAAAATTTTGATGAAACAAATCATTCAATAAATGTCTTCAACCTTACTAAGCATATCTAATAGGCTCGTAGAAAAATACAATCAGAAATGATTACTATTAATACCCAACATCCAGTAAGAAGCCCAGTGACTAGGATTAACAGTAATTTTACTGAAATACATGCAAGATGAACTGCCGATGCTCCTGTGTGGCAACATTATCTTAAAAGACAGTTCGCAAGGTAAACATGCAGTAAATCCAAAGCATGATATCGAGATAAATAAGACAATAACCGCTTTTCCAAATAAAAGGTAATGAAAATACTGTACCCCAGCAGGTACCTGTTCAGAAACATACTTTGAAGGGCCAGACACTATGGTGTTAACAGGCTGCCATCTGTGTTGGCAGCATCCCGTTTCAGTACCAGTGCGTGTCCCAGCTACTCCACTTCCAATGCAGGTTCCTGCTAACGTGCCCAGGAGCACAGCAGAAACGGATCCAAGTGCTTGAGCCCCTGTCCCCACATGGGAAACGGATACAACTGCAGCCTCCTGGCTTCGGCAGGGTCTACCACTGCGGCCATCTGGGAAATGAACCAGCAGATGGAAGATTCTCTCTCCCTTCCTACTTTCAAACTAGTACGTAAACCCTTTATTTAAAAATGTTTTATTAAATTCTTTATTTAAAAAGCCAGTTACTCTAAGGGTAACACTGACCTGAAAATAAGAAAACAAATCAGTGGAACAGAATAAATTTAGAGAGAGATCAGTTTAATATATTGTAAATTACTGTTTCACAGTGATATTCTGTATTAGTAAAAAAGTAAAAAAAAAAAAGTTCATCATTTGAAAAAATTGAGCTTAGACTTGTATCACAAATCTTTAAAAATGTGAAGATAAAGTCTTCTGTGCTAAGCAAGACCTTATAATCCAGAAATTTTTAAAAATTGTGCTGATTACGTTTTAAATCAAAACCTGTACAGCTTTCTCATGACAAAAAGCTCAAAGTTTAAAGACAAACAAGGGTCTGCAATAAACCGTTTCTATCACTCATAATAAAACATTTGCCGTCAGACTGCAAAGGAGTCTTTTCTACTGCAAAACTACATCTGTACTTTGACCCTGAAAACTGGACAATAAGATAAATGCACACTTCACGGGAAAATATTAGGGAACAGCAGATGTGAAATATGCTCAAAGTCTTGGGTAAATGCAAATCAGAAGACAAAAGTTCAATTTGTTTTTTCCGCTTGAAAGAGTGAAAGCAAAGAATGTTCCACCTGTTGTTCACTCTCAAGATGCATCCCACAGCCCGGGCTGCAGCCGACTGAGACACGAGTCCAGAACAGGGGACATGTCGGCGGGAAGCTGGGTGGGACGTGGACGAGCCAGAGCCCGAAGCAGCACTCAGTACAGGATGTGGGTGTCTGCAGCGGCAGTTTAACTACTACACCACAAAACCCCCAGAAAAAGCCTTTCCTGATCATAAACTTAAGTTTATGTCATCCTAGTACATTATAAAGCCTACTTTGAAAGCAATTTGACAACCTAATAAAAAGTTTGAGAACCAGTTATTGCTGTGTAATTATCCTGAAAAAAAAAAACACTAAATATATATTACACAAAGGTGTGCATCAATAATGCTCACCAGGCAGTTCTTACTAGCAAACTATGTTGGTTAAGTCTTGATGTACACATTATATTCATACAACTGTTACAGAAATAGTATAGTAATCAAATAGGGAGACACCAAAAGCAGAGAGGTGGATGCAAGGGGCAGGCAGAGGGACCTAGGGAGAGCTACAGGTACAGACTGCCAGCTTGCGAGAAAAATCCCACACACGGATGGTGGTAATCACTGCATAATATGTGTTTAATCCAACTGAACTGCAAGAGTCTGTTATATCTAATTTGCCATAAAAATAAATGTATTAATTTAAAAGTAATAATACAGTAGCCTTCAACACATGCTTTTAAGGAAGAAGAATGCTTCAGAATAAAATAAAGGAAGTACAACCCCATTTATCTTCAAAATTTTTTGGTGGAGAGATGTAGCTTTAACAGCACAAAGTTAAACTACTGTGGACAGATCTGCTTCCCATAATTCTTCAATTATTAAGTCTTAATTAAAACTCTATAAACTTCGTCTCAGAATAATTAAAAAGCTTACTTTTGTGATGATAACTTCTTGCTTCTGGCCAAGTCTGTGACATCTGTCAAAGCACTGATCTTCAGCGGCAGGGTTCCAGGCCTAACAACAACACGGGCCACAGCAACAGCGTCAGCGGTTACGTCACCACCAGTCGGCCGGTTACCTTAGCATCACTCCGTTCTGACTAGTCCTCTCCCTTCTGGATTACCCCACCTGCTTCTGGCTGGTTCCGGATGCCAACACTGCCAGTGTACTGAAGGAAAGCATTCTCTTGCTCTGTCAGTATGACCCCAGGCAAACAGCTCCTCCAGTCACGACGCTCGGGGCGTCCAGACGGCACCCACACGGGCACTGCCGACTCATCAGCTTCTTTCCCTCCCCCTGCTCCATTTTAAATTGGAATGTGTGCTAACAGGGAAAACTGCACATTCTCCTAGATAAGACTTTAATTTCACACCAGAGCAATACCCCAGTTTGGTTTTTAGTCATTGATGCTGCCTTCTAGTGTCCTCATTCACAGGAAAGTGCGGTTACGAGCAGAGCCAGGGAACAGACGTCCTAACCAGTGTCCTAACTTAGGGCAGGTGCGAAATCTGTTTTTGTTTCAGAGTTACAAATAACATTGGGGAGCTTGACAGAGTCAAGAGAAAAAAACAAGTTTATTAGAAAATTGCTAGAATGTTCCCCAAGTCTATTTCATCTGTAATTGCTAGAGAGTTCCGTCTCTGCCCATTTTTATCAAATTAATTATTTTAATACTAATAACCTCTTCCTTATCTAGTACTACCAAGATTACAAAAGTAAAAAAGTGAAAATCTGGGAATTTGTTCAAAATCAGCTGTGGGGATTGTTACTGAGTTAAAACAACCTATTGTTGCTAAGTATTTTTATAATAACTATAAAATACTGAAACTAAATCAATGATTTAAAAATTCACCCCTAGTAAATAAAATAGACAGCCACCCACGACACAGCCCCGCGAGTGCCTAAATAACCCCCTGCTGGCAACGTCGCTGTGCAAAGACCAGTTGGACAGCTACAGGTGTGTTTGGGTGTATGCAGAGCCCGTCAAGCCGACAGCCTCACCAGAAAAACTAGAATTGCTACTGCATTTGCTGAATCTCTCTAGGCTCAGGTAACAAGTCAGGACCAGGACCAGCATTGTGGCAACAACTCTGTGTTCCGGCTGCTCCATTCCTATCCAGCTGTTACTATCCTGGGAAAAGCATGAAGGTGTACAAGTGTCTGGGTCCCTGCTACCTAAGTAGGAGACCCGGATCAAACTCCTGCCTTTGGCCTGCTGAGCTCTGGCTGTTGCAGATACCTGGGGAGTCAATCTGCAGAAACAAGATTCTCTCTCTCTCTCCTAACTTTCAGACATAAGACCACAAATCTTGAATATGTGCCTGCACACAGATAGCACAGGGTTGCCTATAGTCCTCCAAGTACCCAGGCCATATGAGAAACTGAGTCAGTGCAGGGTTTTTCCTGCCAAGGAGCCCCTTATTAGGAAAAAACAGGCCTCTACAAAGATGCAGCTTTTTGTCACATGGCTTGGTGAATAAAGTTCAGAGTGAATTTTAGCTCCTGTTCCACCTGCACGTCTGTGCACTGTACAAACACAAATGAATGTATAATGGGCACGACAATTTACCCCGAACTTTCACTGATGCTAAGTGTGCTTCAAATTGTGGAGATAATGGCTTGCATCTGTATTATGTGGCTTCCTGAGTCTTTCCCAGTAACTCAAATCTCTAGAGATCCAGGTGAGAACAACATTTTCCTGGTCTGGCATGCCGTATCCTGAGACAGCTACTCGTAGGACAGGAGGCCTTTTCAGCTTACAGTAAGCTCTCCAGTGCTAGTGAAACACCAAGTCAGACAGCAGGATCTCAGCACTGGTGTGCCGAATCACCACTCTAACGCATTAGGAGTGGAGACTTCTGCACACAGAAGAAAAGCACGGCTCAACAGGACTGAAGAACACAGATTCTGCTGTGGCATATTTTTTAGTTGTGCAGTATTGGGAAAAAATTACTTTTCTGTGTTTCAGTTCCCTTACCTGTAAAATAGGGATAATGATTTTCTCTACCTCATGAGGGTAGTATAAAGATCTCAGCTGACACAAAGCACTTGAGAAAAAGCACTATTAAGTACTGCTAGCCATTTCTAAAGTTTAAGAATTTTCATAATCACTTCTTAACTATGAAATCATTGACCTGTTTATCTTTCTTTTTTTTTTTTTTTTGAAGTATGTAAGAGGTAACAGACAAAATCTACAGTACTTACTGGATCCATTAAAAACACTCGAGATGCTGCACAAAGATTCAGACCAACTCCACCTGCTTTTAAAGATAGGAGCATTATGGTTGGCGATCCGGCTTCAGTGTTTTGAAAACATTGAATTGATTCAACTCTTTTCTTTTGGGCCATGGAACCATCCAAACGCGTAAACACAAATCCAGAGGCTCTAGTGGAGTGGAAAAGAGAGACAAGCAACATTCAGCATACCCCGAAAAACATTTCACTACAGATTTCCACATACAATCAATTCATCCATTTAAAATAAAATTTTTATTAGAGAGAAAGGCAGACACGGAGAAGAGCTCTTATCCCTGGGTTCACTCCAAGGTCTGCACCAACAGGAAGCTGGAGTCGGAGCAAAAGCTGAAATTAAACCCAGACACTCTAACAGGGCACCTTGGCATCTGAACTACTAAACACACAGACACCTGCATTCATTTATTTTAACACATTGGTAAACACTAACTAAATGCTAGACAAAGCAGTTAATTTTTCTGCAAAAATTAGCAACTTAAAGTTTAAACCCAACACTGCCAGAGAAGAGTCTATATTGTGATACTAAGTACTAACTTTGGATAGATGAAAAATTAAAACATAAAACAGGGGACCAGCACTGGGGTACAGTGGGTAAAGCTGCCACCTGCAGTGCTGGCATCCCACACAGGCACCAGTTCAAGTCCCAGCAGCTCCACTTCCAACTCCGATCCTGCCAATGTGCCCGGGAAAGCAGCAGCAGAGTCCTCGTGCTCCTGCACCATGTGGTAGATCCAGAAAGCTCTAGACTCCAGCTCTGAGCCAGCTCAGCTGTGGCTGTTGCGGCAACTCGAGGAGTGAACCATGGGACGGAAGATTTCTCCTTTTGTCTATCTTTCTTGCTCTCTCTAATTCTGACTTTCAAGTAAATTAATCTTTACAAAAGCAGAAACTGGTAAAACAGTAAATGTTTTTGCTATACAAATTCATACATTTCTAGAAATCCTTTTATTCAATGTAAAAAATACTGTTGAACTTACTTCAGTGCAGTTTCTATTAAAGACAGGAATGTTGTAAACTGAGAAACAACTAAACTTTTAATGTTGGGATTCTTTGTTCTTAAGTCAATTAATGCGTGCATTAGAGCGTTAATCTGAAAAAAAAGTTGACACCCATTAGATTCCACGCTTCAGTCGGCAAAATAAAATTCTTCATTATGCAGAAAAATGTTGTCAAGTTATTTCCCTAAAGTATAAAAGATTATTAATTTTATAAAATATAAGGATTGAAATATCATACCATAATATTCTAAATCTATTCTTTCCTCTCAAAACTACCAGTAAAAAATTTACCTTTAAAAAGCCTGCAGTTACCAAAATATAATAGTCAAACGACAGAAATAAAGGCAGAATTATTACTTTGATACATGATGTGTGTTTCCTTATATAAATATTAAAACCCTCAGATATTTGCATGGGTCATTTTACCTTTGAACTGGACGTCCACTCCACGTTAGACTTTTTCTCGGTGTCACATGCCAACTCTTCCGGCGGACATTCTAACAAATTGTCTCCGTGTAGATCATTTCTGCACAAAGGGCATTTTGCATGGGGCTACACAGGAACGGAGCATCAGCAACGCTTATCAGAGCAACAATGTAAATCCTAATGTCATAGCATTTTAAAACTTCTGTCACACTCATCCATTTGAGAGAAATTCACTGGCGCTCCAGTTGCACAATCGGTTAGCTTATACGGCAGTGCAAGCCGAGAGAAGTTTACTGAGATTCAGCTATGGTATTCTAAGCTGTGCCCCAGTGAAACGGATAAAGGAGGCAGCAGGACTTTTCCCTGAACTAGCAGCAAGAGCTCGAAACACTAACGACACCAACCGCAGCAGGGCAAGAGCTCAGCAGTGCAGTGTCTTGAACCTGACTAAACACAGCAAGCTATTTGCAGTTAGTTTAAAAAAAAAAAAAAAACTTTTACACAGCTTATGCAGCTATCAGATTACAACTTGTTATATCCAACTGAACAAAGACTCTTCAAAATATTACGCCCTAAAACCTAGACACTAAAAATCATTACAATAAAAAAATGATTTCACAACTAAAATGATGCTAGATGTCAATACAAGGAAGAGCCTCAGCACACAGCCAGGAGCACGCACTTCTGGACATGCGTGTCACACATCAATTTTAAAATCTTTTTAAAAACAATCGACCCCAGTCTCAAGTATTTCAGAATTTCTTAAAGGACTATTAAATTAAAAAAAAATCTGCTACACAAATGAATCTAGACCTATTTTACCCCAAAGAGCAAGTAATCACAACTAGTAATTAAACCAGAAATGTGGATAAGCCAAGTTAACATCATGTAAATACGCAATACCACCAAAGTTTGAAGATTTGGCCAAGGGAAAAAAAAAAGCATGTGGCATATCACATAACACTCTTCATATTTTAGATACATTAAAACTCATTAATAATATTAACTTTACATTTGTTTTAATTCTTAAAACATGACTACTTGGAAATTTTAAATTATCTTTGTGTCTCATACAATCAGCAGCATTACTGTCACACCAACAAAACCTGACAGCAGAACTCAGATACTGACTAAAACAACACCTTCAAAATGATAACATCTTTTGTGCCAAAGGGATGTACAACTGAGAAATACCTCACCTGGCAGAGGCTACAATCATTAAGCCCACAGGTGACACCTGCGCTGTCTCAGGAGTTGGGTTTTATTACACATGAGAGATACACTCCACACCGGACACCGCACCCGTGACAGAGCGACACTCACCTGCTCATTCTGAATGACTTGGCAGATACAAGGTTTACAAAACACATGTGCACAGTGTGTTATCACAGGAACGGTTAAAGAATCCAAGCAAATAGCACATTCTTCATCTGAACCTGAGCTCAGAATCAACTTCATCTTCCTGATTAACTTCGTCCGCAGCTCCTCAGGGGTATCATTTCCTGCAGGAAAGGCTGAAAATGTAATTCCAAAGCAAAACTTGAATATGACTTCACAAATTCATCTGTGCTGAAGGGAAACTCCGCCACTTTGGGTAGTCTCTCACATTTTTCTATCACAGGCCAAAGGTGTGAAATACATTTGTAATTTGGAGAAAAAAAAAATCAGAAATAAAAGCAGAAGCCGAGCCATGATTTACCTCATGGAGAACTGCCGGTATACTATGCTCTGCACACGCAGCAGACTCCAAGGCAATTTCGGGGTGAGCCCGTGCGCTCTGGGGAGCCATCTGTCACTGCAAATCCTGCAAGACTGCACCCCGATTTCACTGCTCAAACCTTCTCAGGAAGCTCCCTCACTCCGAGAGCCATCTATGTGGTCCTAAGCTGAACTCTCCTCTGGTTCTTACAGGAATAGCCATTACTTGGTGCAGTAGCTTGGTAATTCATGAAAATATTCATAAAAATTAAGCATTAATCTGCAAGAATGAATTTCTTCTGGTGGAAAAATACACATCAGACATTCGGTTAGCTGCATGTATCTGTTCCTTCATCCTTCATCACAACACTGCATGTTGTCATCTATGTCCTTCCTGCAAGCCATCTGCTAAGATGTCCCTCACTCCTTTCAGCTCACTGATCTAAAATGAAAATACGGACAGAAATAGTTTTTCACAGAACGAGAAAAAGTTAGCAAAGGTGGTGACACTGGATTTACTTTTGCATGGCACTGTGACACTTTTGGGTTTGCCTCTTCAAAGCACACCACAGTTCATTAACATACAACACAAATGTTTGAACAGTGTACAGATCTGCTTCTTCTTATGCCCTTAAAATATCCCGCAAAAGTCAAAATAAACCTACAAATTAAAAATGGGAGTAGGGAGAGTCTTCCCAGGTTTGGTCCTGTACACGAAGCAATGTCCCTCTGAAAGCACGAAACACCCCACTACACACAGGCCACGACAAGAACCTCCGGCACCAGGACGGCATGAACTTGCCACATCTGCTTACCCGAGGGCCCGCTGGGAGACGTCGTGCTTGTGAGAAGGTGAGTATGGCAACAAATCTGCCGCAGTCTAAGCAGAAGACCCAGGACATCTGCATAATGCGCGAGGACAGTCCCTTCATTAAAGTATCTGAAGATAAAAATGTGAAATATCATGAGACCCTTTAAATGCCTGCTCTAAAATCAATGCAAAGTAAGGATGAAACACAGAAAAGCACACTATCTTTAATTAAGTGTGTGTATATATATGTATGTGTGTGGATAGATAGATAGATAGAAAAAATGCCTAACAAACAAGAGATTGAGAAATTGCTGTCAATTACAGTAAAAGAGGTACAAGAAAACAAGAGTCAGAACTGCAAGTTGGGAACAGAAATGCCGACGCCTTCTGAAGAGAAAGCTGTCCTTGATGTGCCAAAACAAACAGGGCACAAGCCCGACGACATGGAATTCTCTGGGTAAGTTTATACCAAGAAGCAGGGAAGGCAAACCGAGTTAGCACAGCATGCTCTGGGTTCTCAGAAACGAGACTATCGTGGGCAGGAGCCGTCAATCTGACCTCAAAAATCCTACGCCTTCCAGACACCAATCCCCCAGATGACATGTCCATCCTTCCATTCAGATGAAAACCCGGGCAGGTATGACAATTCCGCCCTCCCACACACCACACCCCATCAATCGGCATATTCTGTTGGCTTTAAACGGTCCAGTGCACCGATGGTATGACTTGGTGGGTAAAGCCATCATCACGTTTAATGATGGTATCCTATGTGGGTACCAGTTCAAGTCCTGGATGCTCCACTTCTGATCCAGCTCCCAGTAAACTGCTTGGGAAAGCAGCATAAGTACCCCCAATTTTTTTAAAGATTTATTTTTATTGCAAAGTCAGATATACAGAGAGGAGGAGAAACAGAGAGGAAGATCTTCTGTCCAATGATTCACTCCCCAAATGACTGCAATGGCCGGTGCTGCGCCGATCCGAAGCCAGGAGCTTCCTCCAGGTTTCCATGTGGGTGCAGGGTCCCAAAGTTTTGGGCCATCCTTGACTGCTTTCCTAGGCCACACGCATGGAGCTAGATGGGAAGTGGAGCTGCCAGGATTAGAACCAGTGCCAATATGGGATCCTGGTGCATCCAAAGCAAGGACTTTAGTGCTAGGCCACCATGCTGAGCCCTAGCCTAAGTTCTTGAACTCTGCATTCATGCAGAAGCTCCTGTTTCCTGGCTTTGGCCTGGCTGTTGCAGCTGTTTAGGAAGTGAACCAGCAAACAGGAGTCTCTCTCATATTCTTTCTCTCTGTCCCTCCCACCTCACTTTCTCTCCAACTCTGCCTTTCAAATATATAAATAAATGAACAATTCAAATATTTATCTTATTTATTTTAAAGACTTATTTATTTTTATTGTAAAGTCAGATACACAGGGAGAAGGAGGAGACAGGCAGATTTTTCATCTGCTGATTCACTCCCCAAGTGGATGCAACGGCTAGAGCTGAGCCAATCCAAAGCCAGGAGCCAGGAGCTTCTTTCGGTTCTCCCACACAGGTATAGGATCCCAAAGCTTTGGGCTGTCCTCGACTGCTTTCCCAGGCCATGAGCAGGGAGCTGGATGGGAAGCAGGGCCTCCTGGACATGAACCGGTGGCCAAATGGGATCACAGTGTGTGCAAGGGGAGAACTCTAGTCACTGGGATACCACGCTGGGGCCTTGAAATATTCATTACCTTCATCACTACTATGAAGAAACAGCACCATCACCTCTTACTTTATCGCCAGTGTTCTCTGTACTGATGACTTTATTCCCACAATTTAATCTGAACAACGAGCCAGAGGGTTACTGTCACAAGGAAGATGTGGGACGGGAATTGTACATCAGGTGAAGCTGCCACTTAACCACACCAGCATCAAGTCCCAATTGCTCCACTTCCGACCCAGCTCCCCGTTAACGTGCCTGGGAAAGTGGTCCAAGTGCTTGGGTCCCTGTGGCACACAGGGAGACCTGGATGAAGCTCCTGCTTCCTGGTGTTGCCCTGGTCCAGTCCCAGTTGTTCAGGCTATTCGAAAGTGAACCAGTGCACAGACTATCAATTTCTCTCTCTGATCCCTACCTCTGCCTTTCAAATAAATAAGTAAATCTTTAAAAAAAATTGTATTATGCCACTCTTCTGGCTCAAACCTCTCACAGAAAGCCAAAATCCTTGAAATAGGTTATACGGCCTCACATAATCACCACCACCCCCAGGCCAATGCCTCCGTGAGATTCTGACTACTTTCCTGCTGTCCCATTGTCTTGCCAACACCTGTGGCTCTGTTCTGTCTCAAACTCATAAGGCATGATTCCAACTCGGGGTTTTTACAATTGCTGTTCTGACTGGTTCAAACTCTAACCTCCTTAGAGCTTTGTTCAAAGCAATATTTTCTCAGATTTTTCCCAAATACAAAAGCCAGCATTTACTATTCGCTTTCCCTTTTTCTACCCCACCCCCCATAAATGTAAGCATGTTTATTTAACTTTTTCTTCCCATTAAAATAACTCCTTAAGGGGCCCGGCGTCGTGGTCTAATGGCTAAAGTCCTCACCTTGAACACACCGGGATCCCATATGGGCGCTGGTTCTAATCCCGGCAGCCCTGCTTCCCTTCCAGCTCCCTGCCTGTGGTCCGGGAAAGCAGTCGAGGACGGCCCAAAGCTTTGGGACCCTGCACCCGCGTGGGAGATCTGGAAAAAAGTTCCTGGCTCCTGGCTTCAGATCGGCGCAGCACCGGCCGTTGAGGTCACTTGGGGAGTGAATCATCGGACGGAAGATCTTCCTCTCTGTCTCTCCTCCTCTCTGTATATCTGACTGTGTAATAAAAATAAACTAATCTTAAAAAAAAAAACTCCTTAAAGGCAGGGCTTTTCACCTACTTTATGGTGCTGTACCTCAATGTGCAAAATACCTAAGCACACCAAAGACACTTAACAAATTTCAAATATGAAAAGAAATTCCAATTAGCACTGTAAGGTTTCTACTCTGTATCTGCTTGGAAACATCTTTCCAAAAGTAATTCCTACAGAACTCTGCTTTCTCTCCAGGTCATTGGGTTTGGGTGAAGATGCCCTATTTTGTCAGCCTGCTTACCCCACAGTAATTCACATCACACACGCTAGCCTTCTTAATATACTTCATTAACTCCTATGCCCAGAAGTTAAAATGCTGTTTCAACCTCATAATTACAAATTTCACAATATGCATCAAATACTACCAACGGCACCTTTGCCATCCCTGAAATCTTTTCAAAGACAGTCACAAACCCCACTCCATCACCTGCAGCCTGCCACCCCTTACTCTGCAGACTTCCCTCACGCTCAAGCACTAGACTCTGGGCGTTACTTTCTCCTGTTAGGCTCTATTTGCCTCCAGCAATTTGCTACAATTTCTCTTCTATCTATATTCTCTTCGATTTAAACGCAGTTCCTCAACTAAATCTATGAAAAAAAACTGGTCTAACAATCAAATATTGACCCTATCATTTTCTTAGTTCAGTGACTTACACACACACTTCACAGGACAAACTTGTGGAATTTACACCTGTAACTGCTGAATGACCAACGCGAACAGCGCTTTCTAAGTCTGCCCTATGCAACACTACTGGCCATTCCTTCCTGACTATGCTGTCTGTTCTGGGATGCTGTATCCATTTTCTCTACTTTCCTCATACTTATTTTGACAGAACCTCTTACAGTAGCTTGTTTTTACATTATTTCTTAAAAGGTATTCTCATGTATTTTTTTAAGATATATTCTTATTGGAAAGGCAGATATACAGAGAGGAGGAGAGACAGAGAAAAAGATCCTCCATCCACTGAATTACTCCCTAAGTGGCCACAACAGCCAAAGCTGAGCTGATCCAAAGCCAGAAGCCAAGAGCTTCTTCTAGGTCTCCCACATGGGTGCAGGGTCCCAATGTCTTGGGCAGTCTTCGATTGCTTTCCCAGACCACAAGCAGGGAGCTGGAAGTGGAGCAGCCAGGACACAAACTAGTGCCCTCAAGGGACACCAATATTTACAAGGTGAAGGTTTTAGGCACGAGGCTATAGCGCAGGGCCCTATAGCTCACTCTTAAAACTTGAAATCTTTGCTCAAGATCACCATGTCAGTGAAGTCTTTCCTGATACCATTCTACATTCAGATGGATTCCTGCTCCCACCCTTCAGCACAGGGCTCATGATCACTTCTCCCTCGACTATTTCTCTCCATAGCAATTATCACTCACTCTATACATGATATATTTTCTTAAAAATACTACTTATTTTTATTTTCTATTCACTGGTTGTATAAGGAAAAAATAGATTGCTTTTAAAAATCAAATCTTGATTTCTGTTATGCCAACTTTTCTGATGAGTGCAATATTTTTAGCAGTGTTGAGCCAACTCTTGAGTCTTACTGTGAGATACGTGCAGAAAAAAAGTCAGGTATACCAAGAGGAGAGACAGAGAGGAAGAGTTTCTGTCCCCTAAGTCACTCCCCAAGCAGACATGACGGCCAGAGTTGAGCCGATTCAAAGCCAGGAGCCAGGAGCCACATGGGTGCAGGGTTCCAAGGCTTCAGGGTCCCCATCTTTGGGCTGTCCTCGACTGCCTTCCCAGGCCACAGGCAGGAAGCTGGATGGGAAGCGAGCTGCCAGGATTAGAACCATTGCCCATATGGGATCCCAGTGCACGCAAGGGAAGGACTTGAACCACTAGGCTACCGCAACCAGGCCCTATTCTCATGTTTTGGATCCTGAGTAAGATACCTCCATCTCCTACAGTTACATAAAAAAATATCTATTTTCAATATTTTGCATCTACTTACATGGTACAGGTCAAAAACAAAAATAAAGTCTTGCATCTAACAATCAACACCTTTTAAACATTTTTGTAATTTATGGAAATATTTATCTGGTGAATTGCACTATTATTTCATTCACATCAACTATTCATCTGTTAAAAAAATTTAAATCATCAAAATATCTTCCATACTCTTCAGAATTTATTGTCAACAGGTCTGAAAACTGCAATTATGTTAATGGGAACACAGAAATTTTCTAATAAAGCTTTTTTATTCCATACCTTCCAATAGTAGCTTTGCCTTCATTTTTCACAGACTGATAAATCTTTCTTTCTTCATCTGAAAGTGTAATATGCTGAATAAATACTTTACGTTCTGGTAACTCCAAAACAGGTTTTCCTTTAATTTTGCTTGTCTTTGTTCTTCTAAGTGTAATATTTTTAATTAAGGACTGTAAACGCCTGGGGGAAAAAATAACACTTTATGTCTATAAACACTGGCACAATAGAAAAAAAATAAGTATACATTACTGCTGTTGAGTAAACTTTATACACACACACACATTTAGTAAAGAACTGCTGGTTTATTTTTCTGAGAGGTAGAATTGCAGCTAGAAAGAGAGGCAGAGAGACAGTGAGTTTCCAACTGCTGGTTCTCTCCTCAAATGTCTCCAATGGCCAGGGCAGAGCCAGGCTGAATTCAGGAGCTTCTTCCAGTTCTCCAAATGACCCAACCCCTTGGGCCATCTCCCACTGCTTTCCCAGGTGACAGCATGGCGCTTGGTCACAAGTGAAGCAGCTGGGTCTCAACTGGCACCCTTATGGGCTATCAGCATTACAGGCCACAGCTTTACTCACCACACCACAGTGCTGGCCACTAAAGTTCTTTAAAAATTCCTGATTTGACGTTACCCATTATGATAACCATATAATTATTGTACACACAGAAAATGACAGCAATAAATGGACTGACATTGCCTTCTAACTCAGTGTGACACATCCTTCTCATATCCTGTCCTTAAGCTCTTCTCTCCACTTTGCTCTAATCATTAAGTCATTTGTTCTTCAATCACCTTGTCAACTACATTGCTTAAAGTTAACATTAAAATTCTTACTAAGCACCTACTGGGTTTCAGGCGGCACTAAATGTTATAAAGATAATGTATAAGTACAATCTTTCTTTCTGTAATTTGAAAATCAAGGGTACAGGAGTAAGTTATTTTAAAGGAACAGGTGCCAAAAACTTGGAAATATGCTAATAAATTCAGAAGAAGGAGAAATGCCTTCCTAGCTCCAACATCTTTACAACTCCGTCTCCGTACCAGAGCAGAGGGGCGCATATGAGATTTTTAAGAAAATGCTTTACTGGGCTTGGTATGGTAGCCCAGTGGCTGAAGTTCTCATCTTGCATGCACCAGAATCCCATATGGGCGCTGGTTCATGTCGTAGATGCTCCACTTCCCATCCAGCTCCCTGCCTGCGGCCTGAGAAGGCGGCCAAGGACGGCCAGGGCCTTGGGACCTGCACCTGTGTAGAAGACCCGGAGGAAACTCCAGGCTCCTGGCTTTCTATCAGCAAAACTTTGGCCACTGTGGCCACTTGGAGAGTGAACAAATGGATAGAAGATCCTTCTCTCTCTCTCCTTCTCTCTGTAAATTTGCCTTTCCTGTGAAAAGAAATAAATCTTTAAAAAAGAAAAGAAAATGCTTTTACTAATAGTGAAATCAAAATACAACTTAACAACTTAACAGTAACTGGTTTTGAGGAAATCAATCAGACAACACTAACAGCCAGGCAGCAGCTTTGAAATGTGTCCACTAAAATCATAGTAAGAGATTCCATCGAGCTAACATATGTAATCACAGACACATAAACAGAAATAAACATTTTATAAAACAATACTTACTACTCAACACTCTGATATTTTATTTCATTTATTCTATTTCATCTTCTCTTTAGTGTAACTACTGTCGTTTCAATCATTTCACAACCCACCAAAGGACCCAGTATATGCAGTTTCAAAGCCACTGCTGGACTGGGTTTCTGGCCCATGGGTTAAGACACCAGGTCACACGCCCTCGCCTCCCTCTGGAGTACCCAGTTTCAACACCCTGCTGCTCTGGCACTTCCTGTTCATGCAGACACTGAGAAGCAGCGATAATGGCACAGTTAGCGGGTTACAGTCAGCTACACAGGAGAGCTGGCTTGAGTCCCTGGAGTCTGGTGAAGGTTCTAGTCCCTGGAGCCATGTGGGGAAGGGGTCAGAGATGCAACCTCTCTGTCTACTTCTCAATAACCAGAACTTCTTAATGGGAGGCGGGGAAACCTGCTCTAGATAGAAAAACTTGCACATTAGCATAGATCGTAGAAAATAGCTATTACCAACTTAAGTTTCAATTTATATTCTCAATTTTTATGTATCCACCAGATGCAATCATGTAAAATCTCCACTATATACCACATCAATCACCACTGGTTAACATTTTCCCTGTTACTACTGAAACTGTTCATGACGGCTTTGAAGACCATGAAGCTGTGCCTTTTCTTTCAGACCGGTTAACACTGGGAGAAAGGTAGTTAGTGGAAATCTCCCTCTCCCTCAACAAGAATCACTCGGTCCTGAGAGTCAGTGGCACAGAGCTATAAACACTTCATGGAGACAAAAATTAACAGGCAAGCCAAAATGACAATGCAAGTGGCAATGGGTCCGAGTCCTTAAGCGGTCTGTCGCTAGCAGCAGCCATCAGCTGTCACAGAATTACCTGAGTCCTCCTTCGTCTCCCATCGTGACAGGACGCTGGATTGTTCTGTGCCACCATTCTCTATCCACAAATGGTTTCAGTTTTAAAAAAGAAAGAAGAGACCACAAGTCCTTTAAAGAATTCTGGATCGGAGTACCTAAAAAAATAGCCAGAAAAAGGCTTTAATCCCATCCAGCAGGAATATCCGTCTGTCCCATCATAGAAGGGAACAGCTGAAAAGGGGCATTCTTACACCAGCCATTCCCCTGCCAGGTGTGACTAACTCTTACGACAGATACACCACTCACAACACAGTGTCACTCTTGGCTCTCACAGGCAGCACTAGTAAAACAACCAGACCCAACCAATTCAACATTCTCCTTATGTACATTTGACATTTGCTTGATTAGTTTCTAAATCAGCAGCATCACCGAGAAGGAAAAGGCAGCGGACTGGGGCTTATACTCCCTTCTCCACTGAACGCAGCACATGCAGCACACGAGCTCGAAACGGGCAGTGAAAACAATCACGGTTCTGACTGTGGGATCGGAGGATCTACTCTATCCCTGGAATTCGAGTAAATCCAGCGACTATTCCATAAGTCAACGATAATTCACTATAACACAGTGAGCATTATGAAAAATAAGTCAAAACATTGCATTAAGTAATAACTATATTTCTGTGGGAGTAATATCCACAAAGTTTATAAACTCATTAATTCATTTAAAAATACACCGAAGAAATAACTTTTTTTAAAGATTTATTTTTACTGGAAAGTCAGATACACAGAGAGAAGGAGAGACAGAGAAGAAGATCCTCCGTCCACTGATTCAAACCCCAAGTGAGCGCAACAGATGGAGCTGAGCCAATCCTAAGCCAAGAACCTGGAGCTTCTTCCAGGTCTCCCACATGGGGGCAGGGTCCCAAGGCTTTGGACCATCCTCATCTGTTTTCCTAGGCCACAAGCAGGGAGCTGGATGGCAAGTGGGGCTGCTGGGATTAGAACCGGCGCCCATATGGGATCCCAGTGCATTCAAGGCAAGGACTTTAGCCACCAGGCTATTGCGCAGGGCCCTGAAGAATTCGCTTTTTAAAATGTTTAATATTGGGCTGGCGTGATGGCTCAATAGCTGAATCCTCACTTTGCACAGGCTGGGATCCCATGTAGGCACAAGTACCTTTCCCAGATGCTTCACGTCCCATCCAGCTCCCTGCTTGTGGCTTGGGAAAGAAGTATAGCATGGTCCAAAGCCTTGGGACCCTGTACCTGCATGGGGGATTTCGAAAGAAGCTCCTGGCTTGAGACCAGCTCAGCTCTGGCAGTTGTGACCACCTGGGGAGTGAACCAGTGGACGGAAGATCTTTTTCTCTGTCTCTCTCTCTCTAAATTTGCCTTTCCAATAAAAATAAACCAATCTCTAAAAAAAATTTACAAAATAAAGTTGAGTACTATGATTACCTGTCAACACCCATTTTCTTTCTGCTTCTAAATCAAGCACAGCTTTGGTTTGCTGGGCATTTGGATTTCGAATGGCATGTCCTTCGTCCAAGATCACTCTCAGCCACCTTATGCTATGTAATGGACTATCACCTTTAGTCTGAAATAAATGTTTCATAAGAATTAAAAGACACTGGTAAACAAAATAGTACCGGGTATAACTTGCTACATAATAGGTGTTACTATTCTTTAATATCAACAGTACGTGCCAAGCACTGCTTCAAGTTCTGCATCCATTAAGTTACAGGATAAAACTTCCCAAGCATCACTGGTAACGAACATGTGCGAGAATCACAGCTCAAGGTTTCAAGTATGCACTCCACAGTACCAGCTCCACAAAACGGCGTCAGCACTCACACCCTGCTCTAACACTCTGATGAATGACTGATCAACACCAAGGACTATTCCGCCACAGGTTAAAACATACTGGTGACACAAAATGTCACTTAAACATGTCAACATTGCTTTCTTTTACATGAAATCTAACATTTATAGAAAATTAAAATTTCAATGAGACAATTTCAGGAATATTTCCTGTTTTTGGAGAATTGTGGTTCAGCAGGTTAAGTTACTGCCTGCAACAGTAGCATGCCAGATAGCCACAGGTTTGAGTGCTGGCTGTTCAGCTCCCTGCAAATACACCTGTGAAGGCAGGTACAGACAGGCCCCTGCCACCCACAAGGGAGACTGTGGCCCCGCCTACCACTGCGGCAATTTGGGGAGTTAAACCAGTGAAAGGAAATCTATGACTCTCTCTCTGCAATTCTTTCAAATAAATTGGTTTTTAAAATCTTATTTATTTTCTACGTATTTTTAGTATCTGGAAATAAAAAAAAAAAGTAGATGAAACTTTTAGAACACATCAGGAACGCCAAGCATAGTTAGCTTCAACCTTTGTTAAGTTTCAACATACTCACGCCATAGTCATGAGTTAAGATATTGTATGTAGTCAAAACAATATCCTGTTTTGAAAGCAAGGCTGGATCTCTGATACGATCAGGGCCATAATAAACATAGAAATTCAAGTGCACATCTGATTTTATATGTTGTCCAAACTGGTCCTAAAAGAAAATTAGACACTTTTAATAATAAGCAGATTAACACCAAGTTTTATGTGTCTATCAAAGTAACTGTCATAGTAATAGTATCGCACATCAAATACTACAACTATATGAAACCAAGCTTCTGACAACTAAATCAAATAACAACATTATTATTGTATTGTCAGGAAAAGCGTTACATACACAAAATCATAAAACATCATATAAATTGTGCTTAACCTAACCAGTTACTTCATTTCTTTAGGAAGAAAAAAAATCAAAAATCAAAAGAAAACTCAAGTTTTTCTAAAATAATACTATTTTTAAAACCTTGGTATTTTAACAAAGGGCTCTATAATACAATACTCCCAATTAACAGATTTAATAATCTCACAATCAAGCCTGGGCATGTGACCCATTAACTTTCAGCCCAGCTCCACTCGAGGACGGTCAGGCAGCTGTGTCCTGGCCACCAGGCAGGAGACCGCAATGGCCACTGTGAGCACGGCATCTGGGGAACGGAGCAGTGGACTGGAGTTCTCTCTTTCTCTCTTTCCTTTCAAACAGTTAAATTGCAAAATATATATATCTCAAGACTAAAAGAGAAAAGGGCAGCGGCCAGTACTTCTAAGGATGCAGCGAGAGACTGAAGTGCAGCACTCTTTCATTCACTCACTATAGGTGCCAGGCATCAGACTCGAGGGCATGAGCAGTTCATTGAGCATAAAGCTCTAGTTCTGGAAGATTCTGAGTAGAAATAAAACCATGCCTGAATTGCTTGGAGAACAAGGATACTAAGGAAATACATTCTAAACCTGAATGGCACAAGTAGAAAAAAATACAGAAACAGTAAGTGTGAAAAAGAGACATTAAGACAGACTGACAGGACACTAACTGATGGTTGCCAGGGTTAACAGAGGACAGCGGAGCCTGCTGGGATCCCCTTGAAGAGACAGTGGAATTCTGGCGCCCCGCCCCCACAACCCCAGGCAATGATGGCCACCAGCCAATATTCCCCACCAAAGAAGGGCCAAAGCAACCCCTGCTTCAACTTGCATGTCAAGGGGGGTTTAAAGCTCCCTTCCCCGTCTCTTCCAGGCGCTTCCTCTGCAGCCCTCTCTCTCCTCCCCGTCTGTCTGCTGCACGGGAAAGGGAAGCCCGTGACCAAGGTCCCCTGGAACAAAGGCCATCTAAATTCTTTTCTATACTCGCTGATGTATTCCTTCCCTGGTGGTCAGCGAAGCTAACACTAATTAAACACGAAATATATAGAAACAGGAAAAGAAAGGATGTACTCATACTTCAAATGATTGCCTAGTGCTCTGCGTTAAAGAAATAGAAAATTTAGGGCCTGGCACCGTGGCTTAGAGGATAAAGTCCTTGCCTTGAATGTGCTGGGATCCCATATGGTCACAGGTTCTAATCCCAGAGGCCCCACTTCCCATCCAGCTCCCTGCTTGTGGCCTGGGAAAGCAGACAGAGGACAGCCCAAAGTCTTGGGACCCTGCACACGTGTGGGAGACCTGGAAGAGGCGCCAGGCTCCTGGCTTCAGAATGGATCCAGTAGTTGTGGTCACTTGGGGAGTGAACAATTGGATGGAAGATCTTCCTGTCTCTCTTCCTCTCTATATATCTGCCTTTGCACAAGAAAGTAAACAAATCTTTAAAAAAAAATAGAAAGTTTAAAAAAGGAAGAAGAAAGCAAAGATGAGGAAGAGATAATGAGTATTTTAGACATTTATCATTTTTTAGTCCTTACAGAATGCCTCCGTCTGGAGAATTATATGAAGAAAATGTACATACTAACTTGGAGGTACAAGTGAGAGGTGAAAGTAAAGACTGAGCAGACAGCAGAAGGTGAAGCCACAGGAATGAATGTGCCTTCCTAAACAAGTGCGTGCACTAGTTAGAATGAGGAAAAAACGCGGTAAGAGAGTCTGCTTTAGTAAACCAACATTTAAGGAACTTTAATTAGGAAAAATTATATTATGTCTGGCATGTAATTTACAATATTTTAGTGACAAAGTAAAGTAAATTTGAAAGATTTTGGTAAATCTTGAATCTACAGGAGGAAATGAACATCTTACCAGCGTTTGTGTCATTTTTTAAATATATTTTTATTTTGAATTTTGAATTATGTGGTACAATTTCATATAGGCTGGGATTCCCCCAAACTCCCACCTGTGTAAATTTTTTAACGTCATAAGTTAAGGAAAAACAAAAAGAAAAGGTAAATTTAAAATGAACCAGAACAAAGGCAGAGAAATAGCGGCCCACGCTGGTAGGAAAGCAAAGAATATCACATTTTCATGAAGAAAGAGTCTGGTTTTAATTTACCATCTATGCTCATTCCTCTTCACAAAAAGAAATAAAAGGTTTGGAGATGGCTTACAAAACAAGGGAGGGCAGAACAAATTACCCTCAGCAATAATAAAATCGCTGGAGGTCCCACACAGAGATTTCTGAAATGAGTGGAAGAAAAACGGATTTTCTGTGAATTGCAAAGAGAATTCAACACGAAATAGTACCAGCAAAGCTACAGAGAAGGGAAGATCCTTTAAATGCAATAGTGAAAGTTATTTTGCACGAAAGATGACAGAATCCAGTAGGACAAAGGATTCAGAGCAGGCGTCTGTGGCACAGCTGGCTCATGTGCCACCTGCAGCGTCAGATCTCAGAGGATGGCTCAAGTCCTGGCTGCTCTGCTTCCGATCCAGCTTCCTGTCAGTTACCTGCAAGAGCAGCTCTAGACAGCCCACGCCTCTGGAGCTCCAGCCACCCACCTGGGGACCACACAGAGCTCCTCGGCCCGGCTCTTTGGCCTGGCCCAGAGTTCACTGTCACAGCTATCTGGGGACTGAACTAGCCGAGGAACTGTCTTTTCTTCTTCCTTTATAAGTGTGCCTTTTAAATAAAACTAAAAGAGATACAATGACAAATCTAAATAGGTGAGCAGTCTTGAAAGAAAAAGCCTATTTGTGGATCTGTGGAAGGAGTAAGGATTACACTGCGAAGAAAATCAACTTTTCTGAAGAAAGAGGAAAACCACCTAGGGACTAAATTTCTAGATATTATTCTACACTATACACAAGGACACTTCAAAACGCTCACAGAAAAATGGAATTAAAAATTAAGCATATTCTGATTTTTAAAAACTTGAACTCCATGCAGTTTTTCCATAAGACTCTATCTATGAGCTTTTTGAAGATACTTCACGTGCCTTCAATTTGTTTTGCACCAAAATAAGATTATCTTCTAAACTCTATTTTCTGTAAACTCGAATGTATTTTCTCTCAAATGGAAATGGCGTGATTTCATGAGAGCATAAATAACTTGTCTAAAATATTCAAAACCAGCAAATGGTGGACTTGGATTGGTATTTTGCCCTCACCCCTTTAACCGGATTCTTTCCCTTCCTTGAAGACCAAAAAGGGAAGATTAACTAGTTCCAGCCCAACTTTTAGAATGTGAGGTCATTTATCTGGAAGAAAGAGTAACTATCGTGTTAAGATACTTTTAAATTGTAGTCCTTAAATATAAAACACTAGGTACCCAGCTGTCCATCACTCCTTTACAGTTCTGCAGAGGCCCCAAAAGGCAAGAATGTATCAAGACTTCTTTTTAAAGTTCACATAACTTCAAATTATTATTGCTTTTCCACTATAAACCATTAAATTAAGAAATTCAGTAAATAGATCTCAATTCGTAATAACAATTAATTTAACTTAAGCATAATGACCAAGCAAAACATTTTTAATCTTACTAAACAAATATACGTCTTATAACATTCTCAAAGGGCATTAAAGACTTACAATCCAGTTGCTCAGCACCGAAAGTGGACAGATGATCAGCGTGGTTCTTGCTCTCTCCTCAACATCAGATTTCTTTGAACCCTCCACCACCGATGATGCTAAAAGAACAAATCATTGGCACAGCTTTCAGCTGTTTGTTTTTCTTTCTGAATGTACATATCATCAAGCAGACAACCAAAATGTGCCTCCGTGAGAAGACACGGTGGGAAGCAGATGAATTAATACACCCAGGCATGATGAAGTAAAGGAAGACAGATTTTTACCTTGTCACTTTAAAAAAGTGAAAAATCCAGATAGTAATTATTTATGGGGCAAGGCAAAGGACTGACTGGGGAGAGGCACAAAGAAGTCTAAAATATCTCCTGATATTCAGTCACTCATTAAGGTAAACCTTTTCAAAAATTGTTTTCTGAACCTCTATTATACATACTGTGGCACGTACAATCATCATTCACAATGAATCTATCTCCTGATTCAAGCTTGTGCAGTCCTGTGTCCACTCTGCCAGCAGTGGTGTGTACGAGCAACAGTATGCAGTAAAGCTGATGGGAAACATTTTCTGAAATTCGGTTACAAAAATGAAACTCGCACATGTCTGTTCCCTGGATCTCAGGGGGGTCAGATGCTACCCTATGAGGACACTTGGGCAGCTCAAGGGGAACAACACGGTAAGAACTGAGGACTAAGTAACAAACAGGAATCCGGTCCGATGAAAACCATGAGAGCAACTTGGAACAGGATTTCCCCCATGACTGTAGTCCTGAAGGACAGCTTGGCAGAAACCTCTTAGACTACTAAGCCAGTAAAGCCACATGTTAATAATATATTTTGTTTTTTCGGTATTTTTGGAAAAGACTTTCGGTAGAATACAGTATTCAAGTAATAATCTGATTAATTTTTTAAGGTTTATTTGGGCCTGGCAGATGGCTCAATTGCCTAATCCTCCACTTTCAAAGCACCAGGATCCCACATGGGCACCGGCTTGTGTCCTGGCTGCTTCACTTTCCATCCAGCTCTCTGTGGCCTGGGAAAGCAGTGGAGGATGGCCCAAAGCCCTGGGACCCTGCACCTGTGTGGGAGACCCGAAAGAAGCTCCTGGCCCTGGCTTCGGATCAGCTCAGCTTCAGCCACTGGGCCCACTCGGGGAGTGAACCAGTGGATGAACAATGTTCCCCTCTCTCCTTCTCTCTTAAATCTGCCTTTTAAATAAAACAAATCTTTGTTATCTTCTACTGCCTTTCCAGGAACACAGCTTAACAGGCTGCACCAAAATGCTGGTCCCCCAAAATACCCTAACTGCGTTCTTGTTAAAATCAGGGAACTATTGACCTCTGGGCCAGACTTTTTAAAAAATAAATGAAATTAATATCAAACATACTACCTCTCTTTTGTGATAACTAATCAAAAGTGTAAATAGAGTTAAAGATGGAATTAATCAAATATACATCGAGAGGAAGTCAGACATAGCAGGCTCCCAACAAACAGATGCAAGCAGGGCACTGTGGCGACACAGGCTAGGCCACGGCTCTCAGCACCTGTTCCACACTGCAGTGTGGCTGTCAGTCTCAGCTGCTCTGCCGGGGACCCAGCTCTGTGCCACTCCTAACTGACCTCTACAGAAACAGCTGACACTCCCCCACGACCCTGCGTTAGTTCATTATTGTTTTTTCTCTTCATAACATCATCACTTAAAAGCATGCAATAACTTATTCTGCATTTCCCACATCATTAAATTGCAAGTTCCACAAAGTGGATTCTTGGGCTGTATGTCCAACATCTGAAGCAGGAAACCAATATGCAGAGATACAACTTATCCTAGACCCCCTTAACTTTAGTGAAATCTTCCAGCAAAAACATTTAATTTTTATGCAGGGTTGTGATCCTACGAATTACAAAAGATAAAACTGTAATAAAGATCACTAACATTCTTAACTAAAAAACTATCCCAAAACCTATGAAATCTTAATTACAAATTATTATACTAATCTTTGTTACAATTAATCTAAATCAAATTAAGCTTTAAAAAAGCCAAAATGCTGTGTTCTGTGTACCTCTTACTTTTTTTAGAGTAAGGACACATCATCTTCCTGCCATATTCTGGCTTAATATAACAAATACAACAGAACAACACAGCAGAAGGAAGACAAGATATAGCACTCCTTACTTTCTAAATCTCTTGCAGTGTAATTTTATAATATTTAATTCAATTATTTTTTTACTAAAACAAAAATTAAAACAAAAAGTAGCAGATTGGGGCTGGTGTTGTGGTATAGTGTATAAAGCCTGGTAAGCCACCATCTTTTTTTTTTTTTTAAGATTTATTTATTTTTATCGAAAAAGCAGATAAACAGAGAGGAGAGAGAGAGAGAAAGATCTTCAGTCCGATGATTCACTCCCCAAGTGGCCACAATAGCTGGAGCTGATCCAATCCGAAGCCTGGAGCCTAGAGCTTCTTCCAGGTCTCCTATGCAGGGGTGCAGGGTCCCAAGGCTTTAGGCCGTTCGTGACTGCTTTCCCAGGTCACAAGCGGAGAGCTGGATGGGAAGCGGGGCTGCTGGGATTAGAACTGGCACCCATTCAGGATCCCAGTGTGTGAAAGGTGAGGCCTTTAGCCGCTAGGCTACTGTGGCTGGGCCCGCAACCATCTTTTATTGCTGGTTCTACTTCCAACTATGCTCCCTGCGAATGACCAGAAAAAGCAGCACAAGGTGAGTCTCCTGCTTGGGTATCTGCCACCCACGTGGGGAGGTCCAGATGAAGCTCCTGGCTTTGGCCTAGTCCAGCATGGTGTTGTAGCCATTTGGGGACAGATCTAACAGGTGGAAGGTCTGTCTGTCTCTGTCTCCCACCTCTTTGGAATAATGACTTTCTAAGTAAATAAATGAATCTTGAGGAAGGAAAAAAGGAAACCAGTAGCTGTGCTAACCTTTCTTCAACATTTTTCTCTTCAGTGTAGGAGTAGATACACCAAGGGCACTTGCGAATGCTGCATCTTCTTTAACCTTAGAAGTCCCTGCTGGAAAAAAAAAAAACATAATTAAAATACTTTCAAATTAATTCTTCCACATTCCTATATACAGGTACTACCTGAAGACAGAAAATGTAACAACACCTTCATACTGCCTTAAGAGCCTGTTATTTAAAAAGCAGCAGTTGATCACAAATGTCTCCTCTGACACTAAGCACCCATTGTCTAGCTAAGAGACGTGATCATTAACAGCAGGATGCCGAGAAGCCAGAGTACGACCAGTCACAGGCAAGATGGTTCAACCCTCTGGCATAAGCAGTTTTTTACCCAAGGCAATAACTGTTACATACCTAATGGTAAGTTTGCTAAATTTTCAAAACTGTCAGATGATGACAAGTTCCAATTCAAATTTAACATGATTCCCCAACTAATTTACAATACAATGTGATCTGAATTGGAAAGAAAATGCAAGCATATTTTTTTTTAAATTTACTTATTTTTATTGGAAAGGCGGATATACAGAGAGGAGGAGAAACAGAGAGGAAGATCTTCCTTCTGATGGATGGTTCACTCCCCAAGTGAGCGCAACGGCTGGAGCTGAGCCAATCCAAAGCCAGGAGCCAGGAGCTCTTCCAGGTCTCCCACACAGGTGCAGGGTTCCAAACATGAGGGCCGTCTTTAACTGCTTTCCCAGTCCACAAGCAGGGAGCTGGATGGGAAGCAGGGCCGCCGGGATTAGAACTGGCAACCATATGGAATCCTGGGGCATGCAAGGCAAGGACCTTAACCACTGCACCACCATGCCATGCCCAAAAAGCATATTTTAAGGAAAAAAAATATATACTTACTGATTTTATCAGTATAATCATGTGAATTAACCATGTAATGCTAAAAAGGCCATCCAAACTAAGCCTGGAATGACTAGTTGCAAAACAGCAAAAGGTTTTATCAGTCATTTAACAAGTAGTAGAGTAATGTCTTGTTTAAAATTGCTTTAAATATTATACCTTAAATTTTACCTCAAAGTATTTATTCAGGTTGTTAATTAACACCCATGGTAAATTCTATGAGGCACTCAGATACAAACAGCAGCAAAGTTTAAGAACTATTACTACAGAGCTCCAACCAGAGGCACAAACCCACGCAGCTTTAATAACCTTACGTGGCAATATGGGTGTTGAGAAGATAAAAATACAGACCTACCTCTTACCCTTTTAGTTTCTGATTGTGTATTTTTCAGTTTTCCTAAAAACAAACACAAAACAAACATAAAATGGGTGCAACAATGAGAAATCAAAACACCATCAACTCTACGGTGCATTACCTTTCACTTTCTGGGGCAATTCGTTTATCTCAACTTCCTCTGACTCACTGCTTTCAATGTACTGGACAGAAATTTTCCGTCTACAATTAAACATAAAGAAATTTTTTATCAATCCAAAACAAAGTGGTCAAATCATGGTTAACAAACACAATACAAATTTTTTTTGTTCTCCCTTGTGTATCTTTTGAAGATTTTTTTTAATTTTATTTTTTTATTGGAAACTCAGATATACAAAGAGGAGGAGAGATAGAAAGAAAGATCTATCCGTGGATTCACTCCCCAGGCAACTGCAATGGCCAGAGCTGAACCCATCCAAAGGCAGGAGTTCAGAGCCTCCTCAGGATCTCCCAAGGCTTTGGACCATCCTTGACTGCCGCCCAGGCCACAAGCAGGATGGGAAGCAGGACTGCCGGGATTAGAACCGGTGTCCCTATGGGATCCTGGCACATGTAAGGTGAAGACCTTAGCCGCTAGGCTACTGTGACAGGCTCTATCTTTTGAACATTTTTGAGGCAAACATTTTTAGTTGATATTTTAAGTCATATTTGTTGTAGGTTTTCTGTTTCAGAACAAGTTCCATGTACCAAAATATAGTACCACTACTGTTAAATGTCAAAAATTAAGTCATTCTAAGAGTGATTTAAATAAACATTTACATAAAATTAGTAGCTTTTATCAAAGAAAAAACATAAAGTAAATGAATTAAGCAGACAAAAGCAAAAAAATGAAATGTTCCTTTCACAATGAAAACTTAACATCTTGTGTATAAGCAGTGTAACACATAGTTAAGTGGCTAATACTAGACACTGGGGTCGGACCGCCTAGATTCGAATCATCATTCCGCCATTAATTTGCTATGCGACTTCAGGCAAGTCACCCACTCACTCCTTCATTTGGAAAGTCTAAGTAAAAATGCAATATACTTCATAGAATACGATACTGCTATATGCAAAACCCTTTAAAATACTACCTTAGGCAAAGCCACACCATCCGGGTTAGCTACGGCATCGCCGGGTGGTGGCTGCTCCTGTTGGTTTTTCCCGTGCTATTGCCTAAGTGCACTGTGACCCAGGTTTATGTCACTTTAGAACTCTAAGACTTGAGATTTAGGTAAGAAGAAAACTGATGAATGATGGTCAGTTGTATGTTCAGACAAGCATAAATGACACAACAACTCACAAAGCCAAAAGCTTGATGTCTCTATGGGTGGGTGGCTGGCTCATATCCTGATAAGAAGTTCTATCTGTCCACATGATGGTAGACGATACAAAGTAATCAAAACTCAGAACTCAGAACTACTCCAAAGAGTAAACAAAGTTTGCAAGTAAAAAAACTCAGAGATCACAGGGAAACCAGTTTTACTCAATTTTTCCCTCTAGTTCATTAATATAATTAACATTTTCTATATACTTAATACTTGTTTAGGAAAAATATGTCTCATTTCTACCACAGATGAAATGAAAAAGAATCCCCAAACCAGGGGACAGGACTCAGTTTTTAGGTGAATACAACAGGAACAGGGGCTGGCATTTGGCCCAGTTGTTGAGATGCTCTGGTCCACGTATCTGAATCCCAGCGAGGCCTGGATGTGACACTGGCTCAACTCCACCAGCTTCCTGCTCGTGCTGACCCGGAAACCATGGTGATGGCTCAGTGGTCAGACTCCTGCGCCTGTGAGGGAGACGCGGCCTTCATTTATGGCTCTTTGCTCCGTGCCTGGGGTGGTGCGGACAAAAACAGAGCACGGGAGCTCTCTCACTAGTTCTCTCTCAAATTACAAAAAGGTTGAAAACAGTGTTAATTTCATATCACCAGTTTACGGGGCCAGCACTGATGCACTGCTTTAGGCAGTCACCTGACACACTGGCATCCGTATCCTGGCTTCCAGGGCATTGCCCAGGCCCTGGACCTTGCCACCCCAATGGGAAGCCAGGAGAGAGTTCCTTGCTCCTGGCCTCAGCCTGACCCGTCCTGGCTGCTGTAGCCACTTGCTCATTTGGGTAGTAAACCAGTGGACAGAGACATCCACTCTGTTCTTTCTCCTTTTCGGTCTCTTCTTCTCAGTCTGTCATGTGTCTTTCAAATAAATAACATATATTTTTAAAATTATCATTCTAATTTTTGTAAGTATTACTTCATCCATAAAATGAGAGCATTCTAGGACCCAGCACGGTAGCCTAGTAGCTGAAGTCCTCACCTTACACACAGCAGGATTCCATATGGGCACTAGTTCATATCCCAGCTATTCCACTTCCCATCCAGCTCCCTGCCTGTGGCCTGGGAAAGCAGCAGAGCACGGCCAAAAAGCCTTGGGACCCTGCACCCACGTGGGTGACCTGGAAGATGCTCCTGGTTTCTGTCTTCGATCAGCTCAGCTCTGGCCACTGTGGCCACTTTGTGGACTGAACCAGTGGACAGAAGACCTGTCTATCCTTCTCTCTGTAAATCTGCCTTTCCAATAAATCTTAAAAAAAATTAAAAACATAATACTTGCATAAATCATAGTGACTTTCATAATTTGAAAGAAAACAATGTATTTAGAAAGAACCACATAAATGAGTCATCTTAGAGAAAAAACCATGTAACAGTCCTCTTAGATAAAAAGTTTAAACAGATTACATGGAATCAAACCAAACCAGAGCTTACCTCTTGGGGCAAGAGCCTGACAATTCTGACGTGGGACACTCACTCTTCTTAACATCTGAAATACTGGGTTCGTCATTACACCTAGATGCTTCTATTTCAAATTAAAAATCAGATATTCACAGTATTAGTAAATGATCTGACCAGCACTACCCCTCTTCGATCCGTGGTTTTCCAGTTATCGCCCTTCAGCTTTCTGAACACACACACTCCTTCCAGCCACCCTCAACACTGCCTCCCTCTCCAACTATTTTTCTATTCCCACTCCGACACCAAACTTCACAGAATGAATAAATAGCACACACAAATTATGTCCAAATCTTTAATCTGATTTTAAAATATTTCCAGGCTTGCCACTCTAACTTACCTTCAGCAATCAATTTTGTTAGGGTTATATCATACATCTCTTTCCATTTATCTTTTAACTTTAGAATTTGGCTCTAACTTACCCTCCCTATTTTATCTCTGTTTTCCATGTGCATTGCATAATAAGTAATATAAAACATACAAAGCTACCATAATAAAACATGCACTGTTTCTTAACTATCCTTTCACAGATGATTTTTTTTATCAACCAAATGCGTGCCCTCAGTTTTTTTCTGACAGGTATACTATAACCATCTCCTGAACAGTCCTAACAATCTCCATGAAATTCTTAGATAATGAGATTTAAAATTTTTGTAAAGCATGAAACCAAAACTGCATTTAGATGATTAAGTTGAGAAAAATATCAACCAAACATAGATTCATAGTTAAAATTAATGTTACCTTCGTTTAATTCATCTCTTTTTTTGCTGGTATCAATTTTTCTAGATTTCACAGATTCACTGCTATTGCATTCCTGGGTGAAAAAAAAAAAACAGTTCTTAAACAGTACTACCATCAACCTTACACAAATTTAAAATAAATCTTCTATCATAAATACTTGGACTGCAGCCCAATTCTGGCGCAATGCACTGAGGAGGGAATGTCAGGGGGGTATGCTAAAAGCAAAGAGACCAACACATAAACTGATTAAAAATGTGTTCAAAGTTTCTCAAAAAAAAAATAACCTTTACCTTTAAACAGAATTTTTGTAAAGTCAACCCTGTATTATAAGCAGCATATTATTTACTCTGAGACAAATTCGTAATAAGGAATCTACTTTAGAAAGCATTCCAATTAGCATACAAACTTTCTAAACCATGATTATCTATTCAGTATGTGATAATATATTTAATAAGACTGTCATTCCTCTATTCTCTTTCTGTTTCTCTCAGGTTCCCAAGGCGGATGGGACCCAGCAGTCCAGATGAAGGCAGGCCCTCTCTGAACCTACCGAGGACTTCTCCTTTGTCTCTTCATGTGTATCTCTTTGTTCCAAAATGCATCAATCCACACATGAGTCAAAAAATCCAAAGCACTCTATAAAATACCATTAAAGCTCTACTAAAACTATGCTTCAGAAGATCCATTCTGGGACCAGCTCTGTGTGACAGTGCATAAAAGTTACTGCCCATTATGCTAACATCCCATTTGGGTGCCAGTTTGGATGCCAGCTGCTCTACTTCCCATCCAGCTCCTTGCTAATGCAGCTGAAATCAGCAAAAGATAGCCCAAGATGGCCCAGCACCCACACGGGAGAGCCAGAACAAACTCCTGGCTCTGGGCTTCAGACTGACCCAGCTCTAGCCACTGCAGCCACATGGGAGGTGAACAGGAGATGGGAGGTATCTCTCTGTCTCCCCCTCTCTAATCCTGACTTTCAAATAAATGTATCTTTTAAAAATATTTTTTAAAAAAGAGATTCATTCCCTTCAAATAGCACCAGTCCAGATAATTTTTAAAATGTCACATCAATTTTAGAGAAAGTTAACGCAGCTATTTCATGTACTTTCAAGCTCCAGGAAATAATGCATAGGATATTTCATCAAACCTACCAAAAGTCTTCAATTAATACGACTATTAATACTAAACAACATACAAAAAAAAAATCCTGAAGCTCACCAACAAAGATGCTGAAACTTTCTAACATGAAATACTACCTGGTGGCTTTACCTGCCACACCACAAAACCAGCCCCTCTGAAGGAATTTAAAACATCTTAGTTTAACTACGGAATTATCTAAGTCTATCTGAAATAATAAAGTTTTTCTTACAATACATTCTTGACTATTCCCTCCCCAATCCCATAAAATGGGCAACCTGGGGCCCGGACAGGGGTGAGGGAGTGGGGAGCTATGTAGTCCATGTTCAACAGTTCAGAGCTTCAAATCAAGGAGACACTTTTTTTGTGAACTCTCCTTTCCGCCCAGAGTAACCAGAGTTGGAGAAGCATGCCATAAGGAGGGGAGCACTGGCGGCCACAGCTATCCCACAGTCCCCTAGCTCTCTTGATTCTCCAGAACTCCAGCCTGTCCTCCTACTGCACACAATGTCTCCATCCCACGAGACCTCACACCTCTCCTGAGAGCACTAACAGTCCTCCATGAGCTGGCATGCGTGGGGAGAGGGTTCATTGCTTAGTGAGTGCTGAAGGATGCAAGCAGCCTTGGTTATCAGTGTTTTTGCTGTTGTTTTGGATTTCTGTCCTAGTTGGGCAGGCACTGACTAGGATTGGGGTGTGTCCATTTTCCTCTGGAACCTTCTTTCCCCAACCCTTCAATAGCATGTTCATCCTACCCTGCCCTCAAGGAGGGACAGAAGCCCTCAGTAGCCCTGGCTCTAAGCCCGTAAGGGAGAAACGGGCCTCTGCTCACCTAGCTGAAGTACATCATTCTATCCCAACGTGGCCAACCCCTCCTTTCTCAGAGGTGGTGGCAGCAGCCAGGACCCTCTGCCTCGGTCACAGGCATTTGGCACTCAGGGTTGGGGAGACACTAACAGCAGCGTGGGTCCGATGAAGCCAAACTGGGCTTTGGCTGCACTTCCTTCTCCACTGCCCGTCCTAAAGGAACCACTCCTCCTTCCCCTTTTCCCTCTGGAGTCTGGAATCTTCTACACCAGGTTTCCTCCACTCTGGTGCTGCTTACGGAAAGGTATCAAGTCAGCAACTGGAGGAGAGAAAAAGTCCAGTGAATGTCCTACCCCAAATGTAATGCCTTTTGAGGAGATGGACAAATTGAGTCAGCCATGTTTGATATTGATCAAAAAAGAGATTTTTTTTCAGCTTGAAAACCAAATAAAAAATGAATTCTTGGCTGCAAACCACGTCTTAGGCTTCCATTTCAACTAACTTAGTAAACTAAACAGCCTACAACCTTTCGACTATACACATCTTAAATAAATATTACTGATAACTAATTATCCAGTTGAAAGCGGCAAGCAGTCAAACAAACTTCTATCCAATTTTGGTAAGCCTAGAACATTGGCTTTCATATACAAATACAGAAAGAACAAGACAGAGAACTTTAAAGACTATTCCAGGCTGAAAATGGAGTCTGAGACTGCAAAAGGCCAAACTTTCAATCAAGGTAGACAACAAGGAAATGAAACTAACTGCAGACATTAGCAAAATACAGCTTCAATAAGCAGGTGACAGGAAGCTGATGGGTAGCCCCTCTGGAAGCCACCAGGAACAGCAGTTCAGAAAACCCTACAGAGGATACTTTGCACATATCCTGCTATTTCTACTTCAGGTATTCCTTTCCAATAATTTGTCATTAAACTGTGAAACTTTTATTTATTTATTGGAAAAACACAGAATGAGGGAGAGAGAGAGATCCTACTCAACAATTCACACCCCAAAAGCCTCAATGATCAGGGCTGGGGTCCCCACAGCCTGTAGCCAGAAACCGCACCCACCTCTCCCGCAAGCAGAGCCAAGCAGGGACTTGAAGCCAGGACTCTGCCGAGGGCTGCAGGCCTGAGACAGGACCTGAGCCACCCAATGCCTGCCCCACTACTCAAGTGACCTTTATTAGAAACTGAATGTAATTATCCAGAATATACATAAACATATAGATTTAAAAAGTGATATTTCTATATCATTAGGATACAAATTGTCATTAATGTTCTCATACCACTCTGGTGCGTGAATACACTTAGAACACACACACAGTGCATTTACTAAACAAGGATTCAAACCCAATTTTTTCACTAAGAAGCATCATGAAAATTGGTATTCTTCAGTAAGGTTCTTGTGGCTGCACTACGCAAGTCTTATGGCCATTTCATAATTCAATTATTCCCTTACTGAAAGATATTTCAATTTTTCTTACTTAAGGGGACCACATTGTGACTTAACAGGCAAAGCCATCACCTTACAGCAGCAGCACCTCATGGGGTGCTGGTTCGACTCCCCAGTGTGCCATTTCCAGTCCAGCCCCTTGTTAACAGCCTGGTAAAGGAGAAGGCAGCCCAAACATTTGGGTCCATGTGCCAAGTATGAAATTCAGCTGAAACTTCTGGCTCCTGATTCCAGATCAGTCAAGCCCAGGCTGTTGCAGCTAACAGAAATGAATCAGCGGGAGAAGTTTTTGTCTCTTTCCCTCTCAATAGTGTTGATTTTCAAATACATAATCTTAAAAAAAAAATAACGAAACAAAAACTGTCTTTGAGAAAAGCAGATTTCTGTTAACTTCCTTAGATAAATGACTAACTCAGAGACTCTTACTATGTGCCACTGACTATCTCAAGAATGGGATGCTGGGGTTAACCTGTGATGCAAGGGGGTAAGCGCCCCTCGGCAACGCCAGCATCCGCCGTCTTCTACACCAGGTCTCTACTACTGCACATGGGAAGGCAGCACAAGATGGCCCAAGTCCTTGGACCCCTGCTTCCCAGGTACAGCTGGGCGGAGCTGAGGCCACCGGCTTCAGCCAGGCTCCCAGGGTGATGTGGCCATACAGGGAATTAACCGCCAGAAGGCAGAGAGCTCACCCCTCCCCCTCTCCCACCTCATCTCCCACTCCTGCTGCAACTCCGCCTTCCAAAGGGTCAATCTTTTTTTGTTTTTTTAAAGAAAGAGAGGAATATTTTCTGTTCAACGATTCACTCCCCAAGCAGCCACAATGGCCAGAGCTCAGCTGATCCAGAGCCAGGAGCCTGGAGCCTCTTCCAGGTCTCCCACGTGGGCACCGGGTCCCAAGGCTTTGGGCCATCCTCATGCTTTCCCAGGCCACAAGCAGGGAGCTGGATGGGAAGCGGGGCCACCAGGATACAAACAATCACCCATATGGGATCCCAGCACATGCAAGGTAAGAACTTGAGCTGCTGGGCTACTGTGCTGGGCTCCAAATAAATCAATCTTATATGAATAAGTTAAACAAATAAGAAAGAATGTGATACCAGGGGCACAGCAGTTATAAGGCCACTTGAGACACCTACATCCCACTTCGGACTCTGCTTACAATCCAGCTGCTGCATGCCGTAAGTGACAGCAGACAGCAGCCAATGGCTCAAATGCTCAGGCTGCTGACACACATGTGGGAGATCCACTTGAATTCTAGGCTCCCAGCTTCAGCCTGGCTCAGGTTCAGCTGTGTGGGGATTTGAGATAGAAGATCTGTTTCTACCTCTTTTAAGTTAAAATAAATAAATAAATAAAAAGATTGTGATTTCTCAATGTTTCAGCAAAGAGAGTTGATGAATCACATTTCAAGGACCCTGTTAATCAATTTTTGGCAATTACTTTTAAATTTTACACTCACTTAGTTACTTTCATTTGCAACATGGAGGCGCAGAGACAGAGATTTTTTTTTTTTTTTTAAATCTGCTGGTTCACTTGAGCAGGGCTGGACCGGGCCAGGCCAAGGCAGGACTCAGGTACCCCGCATGGTGGTGCCAGCCTGAGCCACCTCCACAGTGTGTTTCAGGAGAAAGTTGGAATCTGAGCACAGCCAGATTGAGGACAGGCGCCTGGGCAGTCTTGAACCAACGTGCTAAACACCGTCCCCAGCAAGGATGCTTCTCCGACTTGTCAGAGAGCACTCCTGCTAATCCCCTACCTTCTTAGGCTGATTCTTTTTCATTCTTTCCACAGGAAGAGGTTTACCATCATAGAAATTGGTAAGAATCACTGCAATCGCTGTAAGAGTTTTACCCTTTAAAATGTCAAAGAAAAAAAAAGATCAGATTCTGAAATCAAGCTGACTAGGAAACATTCAAAAACTGATTTCAAAATCAAGTAATCAAATAAAAATTCCCATTCAAGGCCACACAAGTATAGTGTTAAATAAATGATTCAACACGTTAAAAATCAAAGTTTCATTTAGACAGGAAAGGTGTTTTGCCACTGCACTGCAAATTACTAAATGACTGTCTACGTCTATACTGCCCTGAATGCTATTATGTTATAACCTCAGAAGCTGCTTCCACATCAGCCAAACAAAAATTTTAACATTATAAGTGAACATATAAAAAGCTCTGTTTCCACATTAAAAATAAAATCTGTTCTCAGATAGCAACATATTCCTATCTTTATACTTCAAAACCATAATTATAAGATCTTATTAACCACAAGAGAAAAAAAAAAAACTGTAACTACCAAACCCATATCATCAGCCAGAATTCCTCCGTGGACATTTTCTGGTCGATCTTTCTCGGAAAAGTTGGTTATCGTGTTGTAGTATAAGTCGTTGCGCTGTTCCCAGAACGGCGGAAGTTCCGTGCTGTTTTCCCGTGCCACCATCCAGGCGAGAGCTTGCTTCTGATGTGGAAGCAACGGCGTTTCCACAGCCTATCGATGAAGGGTCACAGAGAGAAACACGGTAAGCCCCGTTTTCCACACTCAGAATCTAAAGTTAATCTTGTGATTAAAAAACTGAGAAACAAATTGTCACATCCTGAGTAGTTTTTCATAGAAAATACTGGCTCCTTGCCTCAGCTGGCTCCATTTCATGAGTTTTGTCATCTTCTTTCAAATCTTCAAACAACTTGTCAAATTCTGTTTTAAGCTGTAACAGCAACAAGAAACTCCATGAAGCAAAACAACCAAAATGCTAACTGTTCTTAATCCAAAAATTTAAATCATATAATTAAAAGAATCAAATGCCAGAAGGCTCATTAGAATTCCCTGGAATACTGTACTGCTCCATGAAAGTAGACTGGAAAGATGTCCTCGGAGTTAAGCGGTAAAAACACATTATTAAGTCTTGGCTCTGGACGTGGTTCTCCCACTGGGGGAAAAAAACTACACGTAAGTTTAGGCAAGGCGTTTCAATTTTTTAATTCAAGGCATTTCAATTCTGTAATCTTATTTCTACGAACCAAAAGGAATAAACTAAATTTACATTATCTCTCAAGTCCTCTCTGCCACTGGAATTCTATGATTTTATCATCTTTATTCAGAAAATTCTGGCCGACCTACCCCGTGTATTTGCCTTTTTCAAATCAATGACATTTATTATGGCAGCAATAAGGAACCTGGTGTACTTTACACAATATTACAATGGTTTTACTATTATGATAATCTAATTGGCTATTTAAACCTACTCCGATTTAACAAAAACATATATATGCTACAATTATTTTTGCAAATTGATAAATGAATACATAGTTACTGTAGTCCAGAAAAACATCAGCTCAAATCTCGATAACTAGGTGAGGTAACCCGAGGGCTGCTCACCAGGCAGCAGGTCTAAGCCCTCAAACAACAGTCAGGGAAAGCTTGGTATCTCACAATTGGAAGCTAAAAGGTACAACCAAATTGCTAGAGACATTAAAACAAGTTTGTTATTTTTAAATTGATTTTCATTTTTTAATTTTATAAAACTTTTTCAAACTGGGCCTGGAATGATGGCTTACATTGGCTAATCCTCCCAATGCAAGTGCCAGGATCCCATATGGATGCTGCTTTATGTCCCAGCTGCTCCACTTCCCACTCAGCTCCCTGCCGGTGGCCTGGGAAAGCAGTCAAGGACGGCCCAAAGCCGTGGAACCTGCACCCACGTGGGAGGCCCAGAAGAAGCTGCTGGCTCCTGGCTACAGATCAGCTCAGCTCTAGCCACTGTGGCCACTTGGAGAGTGAACCAGCGGATGGAAGATCTTTCTCTCTGTATCTCCTCTCTGTAAGTCTGACTTTCCATTGAAAACAAAGTAAGGCTTTTTTTAAAAAAAAAAATTATTTAAACTAACTGAGCCTAACATTATCCTATATTACAAATTACACAGAAAACAGAGTAATGCTAATTAGCACTACAGTTGCAATCTCCCTCAACGGAATCTCAAGGGTGTATTTTTTTTAAAGATTTTATTTATTTTTATTGGAAAGGTGGATGTACAGAGAGGAGGAGAGACAAAGATCTTCCGTCTGAAGGTTCACTTCCCAAGAGGCCACAACGGCTGGAGCTGAGCCAATCCGAAGCCAGGAGCCATGAGCTTTCTCCAGGTCTCCTACATGGGTACAGGGTTCCAAGGCTTTGGCCCGTTCTTGACTGCTTTCCCAGGCCACAGGCAGGGAGCAGGATGGGAAGCAGAGTCACCAGGATTAGAACTGGTACCCATATGGGATCCCGGCGCGTTCAAGGTGAGGACTTTAACCACTACGCTATCATGCCGGCCCCCAAGGTTATATTTTTTAAAATTACTATTTGGACAATTTAAAAAATTCAAATAAAAGAATAACCTGAGCAAATACAATCATGCACATGTTTTATGTGTTTATGTATGGCTACGCAGCCGGCCTTCCATACTTCAGATGAAACCAACAGCAGCCTAAATGGTTTAGTCTCTACTGAACACCATAGACTTTTTCCTTGTAAATATTCCGTAAACAGCGTATCAGGTAGCATGAGTAATCTAGATGATTTACAGCAAACAGGAGGATCCGCACAGGTTATATGCAAATACCACAGCACTTTATACGAATAAGAAACGGAAGAGACCCTGGACCCCATCAACTGCAGATATGAAAGGACCGTACTTCTCACCATTGTTAAATGCTTGCAAACAAATGCATACTCCATTTATTCCACAATATAAATTTCAATGTAACTTACCAACGCACCTGAACATCATCAATACACCAATACATTTATCCTATTTCAAACAGTAACCTCAACATTTAAAATTCACTTTCAGATCACATGGGAAGAAAAAGAGAAGCAAGGGCAGGATGTTGGCTTAACAGCTGAGCTGCCCATTGATGAAGCTATCGCCTTAGTTAACATCCTGGGTCCACTTCCAAGTCCAGCCTCCTGCGTGCACACCACGGAGGCCCCAGCGGTGAAGGCTCAGCGCTTGGGCACTTGGCACCTCAAGGGAGAGGCTTGATGCTGAGGCTTGGTTTGCAAGCATTTGGGGAGTAAACCAGTAGATGGAAGCCTGCTTTCGTGTCTGCTCTCAATCATATGCTCGCTCTCTCTGCTTCTCAAATAATGAATAAAAAGGAAATCGAGAAGCATACCTGTTCAGTTGTCATCTGTACAGCAGCATGAACCGGCATACTATAGCTTGGTCCAGCTCTCCCAGAGCCCCAGCCACCTTCCAAACTGAATCCTAATGCTATAACACACAAAAATTCTTAAATAAACAAAGCAAGCATTTATCTGTTAATAAGTAGTAGTTCTTGAATTTTGAAAGCTAAATCCTAAGTCATTCTTAAGTGACTTTATTTATATCCACAATACTTGAATAAACTTCTAGTTAAAAAAAAAATCACATAGCATTTCCTATTAGGAGGATCTTTTTCCTAAAATTTACCAAAAATAAGTCCTAAAATCAGGGATTTCCAGAGGTTACCATGAGGGAATGCAGAGCACAGGGGGATATGAGTGTCAATCTAGAGTTCCAGTCCTGCGTCATACGTCAACGTTTAGAATAACAATGAGTAACAAATACAGCAGTGGTCCCAGGAGACTGAAGCACGTGGTACCTCACAGCCACCTTAATCTGTACAATTATGCCCAATGATGCTCAAAAACAAACTACCCAAGGATAAATTTTTTAAAACACACCTATTTTACCAAGTGACAGCCACTGTGCTTCACAATACAGAGCTAAAAACAGATTCCAGAAAAAAAAAGCTGCAACTGGAAGTTGCCTGTACACGTTAGTCACCCAAACTCCCAGAAATTCATTGTCTTAGAATACCTGTGTCTTTGCAGTATCAACAGAGTAGTTAAACCCTAAACTTACTTTTTGGTGCAGGACCCAATTTAAAGCCATGCTTCTTCAACTGATCTAAAACCGTTTTTCTGTTTTCTTCTTTTCCCCAAAAAGTCATTTGCAGAGGCATGGTAAAAGCATTGTTTGCACCAAAGGGGACGACCCTATTACATTTAAGAGAGAGGGAGAAATAACAAATTAGAAGTGTTGTTTTTACCACCATTAGATATGTGATATTCTATTCTAAGCATGCATTTCAAATTCTTTGCATGGGAATAAAATAAGGAACTACTAGTTGGAAAAAGGGAATAGAATCAAGAACAATCAATAGAAAAGAGTTATTTTTAGAAACAAACACCAAAGGATATTGCAGCTTTAAAACACAAAGATAGCTTGTAAACAAGATACATGAAATGGTTCCATTCAGAGGGTTAGAACTTTGCTTAACAGGACCACTAGAAATAGTAACTTATTTTTCTGATAGAACTGAGAACAATTTCCAAGAATTATTTCAAATATAGGATTCACTACAAGTGTCTGGAAAAACTTGAGAAATTGAAAAGGGACAAAACACAGTGAGATACTGCTGGACATTTCTTTTATCTTCCAAACTCACCTAAGATTAGGATATGAATCTCCTAAACATTCCAAACACTTAAACTGAGATCACAAACACAAATGCCTAAAAAAGAAGAGGCAATTGAGAAGAGATTGAGGGTTCAAAAAAATAAAAGGGGGCCCTGTGCGATGGCTCAATTAATTAATCCTCCCCTTATAAGCAGCCAGGATCCCATAGGAGCACTGGTTCTAATCCCAGCAGCTCCAGTTCCCATCCAGCTCCCTGCTTGTGGCCTGGGAAAGCAGTCGAGGACGGCCCAAAGTCTTGGGACCCTGCACCCTTGTGACAGACCCAGAAGAAGCTCCTGGCTCCTGGCTCTGGATCAGCCCAGCTTCGGCCTTTGCAGCCATTTGGGGAGTGAACCAGCAGATGGAAGATCTTTCTCTCTGTAGATCTACCTTCCCAACAATCATAAATAAATCTTAAAAACAAAAACAAAAAGGAAAGAAAAAAGATACGGCACAACTGGGAGAGACTGTGCCCTACCTAAAGGTATAGCTACTGGCCAGCCCTGTCCTGCAGATTAAACTGCCAAGTCCAACCTGCTCCACTTCCAACCCTGGGAAAACAGCGGAAGATGGTGCACAGGGGAGACCCAGAAGACGCTCCTGCCTCCTGGGTTTAGCCTGGCTCAGCCCTGGCTGATGAGGCCATTTGGGGAGTGAACCTGCAGATAGAATCTTTCTGTGTCTTTCCACCTCTGCCTGTCAAATAAACCAATTTTTCTTAAAAAAGTACTACTCACTTCCGGTCAGCTGATACCATGTGGAAATAAGAGCCCAAAACTGTGAGGTATCTTACTAAGCTTCACACTTAAGAAAAAAAAAAACATAGAAAATATACAGTATCTAGATAGTTGGTTATTGGAAATAAACAAAAAAAAACTTCTAAAACACTGGGTATGCAAAACGAAATTCACCTACAGCCGACCAACTTACAACCTCTGCTCTAACACTTCTAAACTCTTAAACCCAGCACCGACACACTTGGAGACAGAGTGTACTTCCTGAAATTTGAACGCAAGTGGTAATAATTCAGTAGGAAAATGGGCAGACAGTTGTTGAATGGTGAGTGTAGTGGAAGCATGCAAGAAGAGAACCGACACATTCAGGGAACACATATGATACAGGTTGCCAACACGCACTTACACGCTCTAGTTAGAAGACCTAACAAGTTCAAAGATCACCACAGCTCACAACTATTCAAACTAAATGCTGCCAGTACATTACCCTTCTATTTGTGCCAATTTGTTGTCCATGATATGGGCCAAAGCAGCGGCAAGCTCCTTCTTTAAATAGCCAACCTGATTTCCATTCACATTATTTACTTTAATCGCATTCTTGTCATAGGCGTTATTAGGCTCTCGTTGTAACGCAACCATCTCATTATTATTAACCTAATAAAAATAGTGAACAGATAAACTGTAAATAATGAAGGCAAAAACAATTTCACATTACCATCCTTTATCTGAATTTCCATTTCAATTAATAAAATTTCTAAACACAGCAAACAAAAACATTTTCTTAAACAAGCAATATTAAAGAATGCATTTTTTGTTAACTATTTTTTATCTTATAATTTATACTCATTTCAGGACTTAGCAGATCCCTGATATTTATCAGACAATGGTCAAATCTAAAACAGCAGATTAGGCTGTACAGACTGACTGAGTACAACCTAACCAACCCACTGACAGGTACCACCACTCTTCCCATTTCATCACTGAAGAAACTGAAGCTCCAAAGAGTCAGGTTGATTTGCTCAAGCCAAAAAGTTATAAATTAAGAAGTAGGCAGGTTAGCTCTGAGCCTGAATTCTCTAGAGTCTAAAAGGAAGAAAAAGGCATTTGTCAAAATGGAACTGAAACAGGAAAAATACAAACAGGGCAAGTGCAATGGCTCAGCTGGCTAATTCTCTGCCTGGAAGCAGTAGCATCATGCGGCTGCTAGTTCCCGTCCCAGCTGCCCCACTTCCGTCCAGCCATGCCTACGGCCTGGGGAAGCAATGAAGGATGACTCAAGTCCTTGGCTCCCTGCACACACATGGGAGACCTGGAAGTAGCTTCTGGCTCCTGCTTTCAGATCAGCTCAGCTCCAGCTGCAGTCATTTGGGGAGTGAACCAGCAGATGAAAGATTCTTCTCCCTGTAAACCTGCCTTTCCAATAAAAATAAATTTGTTTAAAAAAGAAAAATACAAGACTTCAACTCATACACTTCTCTGATTCTTCCTGACTGATAAGTCAGGGTGATGTCTATTATCAGAAATGGCAGAATAAGGACTTCCAGAAACTGTCATCGGAAACATTAGAAAGCCCAACAAAACCTGTCACAATCAAGGGCAGGCACTGCAGCACAGGTGGGCCTGCCGCTTGTGGCGGCCACATCCCAGGTCAAGACTACCGGTTTGAGTCCTCACTACTCTACTTTCAACCCAGTTTCCTGCTGATCATGCACCCTGGGAGGCAGCCGGTGACAGCTCCAGGACTCCAAACCCTGTTCTCCACTTGAGAATTCTAGGTGGGGCGCCCAGGCTGCAGACCTTGGAACACCCCTGCATGCTGAGCCAAGGGAGGACTGAATCAGTGCAGGAAAGGTATTTATCTCCATCTCCTTTCCATCCACATCTATCTACCTCTACTCCACACGCACGCACGTGCGCACACACACACACACACACACACTCTGTCTCTCTCTCTCTCTCTGTCTCTCTCTCTCTTTCAAGTAGATGAAATATGCAGTTTTATGGGGAAAATAACCCCCGTTATTTTCAATGTTTCAAAAGTCTAGAAAACAATCAAAGGAAATTCAGGGAGCATTTACTCAAGGAAACAGGTCTGAGTATCAATACCCCATTCCTACACCCAGCTCTCGCATCAGCTCACGGTTCCCTCCAAATGTGCCAGCCTGCTGGGACTCTGGTGTAGCATGCCAGTTGCCAGACAAGAGCACAACCTGGCTGATACAAAGACACTCACTCCCAAAGAACTATCAGTATTTGATCTGGTCAGTCTCTAGAAAAATCTTACTTGCAAGTCAGGTTGTATTGGCTTTTACTGCTTAGCCAGTAAAAAATAAATAAATAAAAGAAACCTCTCCCATGGGCAGATGCCTGTCAAAAACAATGTTACAAGCAAGTATTTTAAGTTCATTACTGCTTAGGCAGTGGAAAACACCTGGGAAGAAAAATAACTGAAAAGCTTAAAGGAACAGTTGAAGGAGGTGTCACTGTAAACTTTGCCAAGTTCCCACGTAGTTCTGGAAGTGCAGAAGGCCGTATGATCAGGCCGCACACATTCACGGGAAAGCACTAAGCTCTCACCTCTGACTGAAGCTGGGGTACTTACTAAGTAAAGGCCGAGACCATTGTTTACTGCCTCAGAATCCTAACAGACTGTCCCAATATGTGGAGTCTCTCAGCAAAATCTGGAAGACTTACTGGTTTTGGCATAGTCATTAGCTGATTGCTATACTGACACAATAAATGCACAACTCAGCAAAGTCACGGACAGACACCAGCGGAGAGCAGTCAGCCCAGCACTGAAGCTGCCCATGCCCCACCCTGAGTGCCTGATCCCAGTCCCGGTGCAGCTCCAGCTCACGGCCCCAGCTCCCCGCCAGCACACACCCGTGCAGGGAGCAGTGCTGGCTCAAGGTGCCATTCCTACAGACCTCACATGAGCCTGGTTTGAGTTCTCAGCTCCTGGCTCTCGTCCCAGCACAACCAGGGTCCTTAAAAGGATTTAGGGAACAAACTGGCACATGGGAGTTCTGTCGCTCTGTCTTACAGAAAAAAGAAAACAAACTCTGGGGAGGGAGAGTTTGCAGAAAAACCACCCTGTTTAAAAAGTCCAAGGGCTGGAAGCAGATGGCTGATGAACTCGAGGTTCCTGCAGTCTCCTCCCCGCAGAGACATCGAGGTAAACAGCCTCACACAGACCCATTCACCGTCACAGGAGCCGACGCCACGTGACACAGCAGCGTCTCACCCTGCTACAAGGCTTACTGGAGCAAGCAAGAGGCCAGAGTTACCCACCTCATCCTCCCTCAGCTCCAAACATCTCCCACTGGGGAGAGAGACAGCAAAGTGAATTCCAATAGAAAACCCACTACAAAAAAAAATTTTTTAAAGAGCTGACTAAGCTTCCTTGCCAGAACCTAGGCCTTAACTTGTAGAGTGAATATCTGCAGCTTCGACAGCCAAGAGGCTTCTGCCAGCCCTCTCTCAACTGCTTAGGACTGCACCCTGGCCCAGAGTGAAGCCTACCACACCCAAACCCACAGGCCTCTAGTCCCAGTCCCGTGCTTACAGACTGAGCCTCTCCATCGTCCAGGGTCAGTTGATGGGGGTACACTCCTTTTGGAGGTGTCACCAACGCCCTCAGGTGGACCTTGCAGACCTTCAGGGACTTTGGGAACCTGTAACTGCGGGAACCAGCTATAGCAAGTGGGGCTAGTCCGGTAAGCCAGAAGGCTGCCTCTCCCAATCACCTCCAACCCTGGGCACAGAGCCAGGGACACTGGGCCCCAGTGGGCACTGATAACACCTAACACTGATTTCCATCCAAGGCAAATGTCTGTGGACAGTTGCTGTGCGGGGGAGATATGCTCAGTGGTTTAACAGACTTGTTTGGTTATTATCGCCAGCTTCTTGCAGACCAGGTGTGCAACCCCAACATCTGGTGGCCATGAGACCATGGCGGGGCCCTCTGAAGACCTACCTCAATAGCTGAGGGGCTGCAGCTGGCATGCCTCCCACAACGATGGGCAGACAGGAATTACAGCGCTGTTTGAGGATTAAGTGCTACACAGACAAGAAGTCTGAGCTCACCACAGGCACCAGAAGAGGCTGGTGGACGCGGACTATCCCTTTTCAGCACATGCTCAATGCCACAACTGCAGACTCATTACAAATGTGCATTTGGGGAGTGTTTTAAGACCATCAGTAAAAACATCAACAGCAGACTCGGGCAACCAGTGACTCAGGGCGCTCTGTAATTCTGAAGCAGCACACGTATCCACAGGCTCAGAGATTGTAAACTACTTAGAATTTCGGTAAGCCATACAGCAAGTCAGAGCACTGTAACTAATCCTTCAAGAACATCCGGGGAATGACGACCTCAAAGAGCAGGATAAAGTCTAAGCAACAACCAGCTGGGAAGTTCCCAGATGCTAACATCAAGATTTCAAAAGAACTGTCCTGCAGCTGACACGGCAGGTCAAGCCACTGCTAGCAACACCAGCCACCCATAAGGCAGCAGCTTGAACTACAGCTGTTCTGCTTCCAGTCCAGTTCCTGCAACCGTGTCCAAGCAAGCACTGCAAGACGGCCCGGGCACTTGGGCCCTTGTGCCCACCTGGGAAGCCCGGATGGAGTTCCAGGCCCCTAGTTTCATCGTGTCTCAGCCATGGCTCTTGCAGACATTTGGAGAGTAAACCAGCCGATGGAAGCGCTCTATCTCTCAGGCTTGCTCTCTGTGTGTGTATGTGCATATATATATACACACATATATAAACATATTATATACACACATACATATGCCATTCAAATAAATAATCTTTAAAAAAAGCTATCCTAAGTAAACTCAACGGAATTTAAAGGGAGAATGCAAACAATTCAATATTCTACCAGAGAAATGATGGAAGCAATTAAAATCAAGGAAAAAAATCCATCAACTAAAAACTACTGGTAAAATTGAAAATAAGATAAGGTATCAAGCATCAATAGAATAGACCAGACAGAGTGCCAGCTCAGGTCTCTGTCACTCCGTTTTCAAACCAGCCCCCTGCTAAGGTACCTGGAAACACGGCAGCAGATGACTCAAGTACTCAGGCACCTGCACACAGGTGGGAGACCCAGATGGAATTCCAGACTCCCGGCTCTGCCCTGCCAGGCTACTGCAACCACTTGGGTAGTAAATAATGAGACAGGAAAACCTCTCTGTCTCGCCCCTCACACTATAACTCTGCCTTTCAAATAAATAAATAAATAGATAAATATTTCCAAAAAATAGATCAAGCAGAAAAATCCCATGAGCATACATACGTGGCTGGAGAAGTAAAAAGAATCAAGAGGGGGACGGCACATTGGCACAGCAGGCTAATCTTGTAACTGAACCACCAACTTCCCAAACGGACACCTGTTGGAGTCTTGGCTATTCTAATTTGGTTCCAACTCTGTGCCACCGCCTGGGAGAACAGCAAAAGGTGCCCCAAGGCTGTGAGTGCCTGCACCCCATAAAAGACCCAGAAGCAGCTCCTGGCTCCTGCCCAGCCACTGCGGCCAGTTTGGGGAGTGACCAGCAGATAGAAGATCCCTCTCCTCTTCCCTCTGTAATTCTGCAAAATAAATGAATAAATCTTTTGGAAAAATAACAGAATGAAGAAAACTCACTGGCC